TGGAAAAATCTAAAATTTAATAATCAAAATAATTGAAAAATAGAAAAATGGAATAATTGTAAAATTTTTAAAATCGAAAAATTAAAACATGAAAAACTGTAGGATTAAAAAATTGAAAAATCGAAAATTGGAAATCCAAAATTGAAAAAAAGAAAAATTTTAGATTTAAAAAAACTGATAAATCGAAAATGGAAAAATAGGAAAATTAAAATATCGAAAAATTGAGAAATCGAACCATGAAAATGGGGAAACATTGAAAAACTTTAATTGAGAAATCGAAAAATTGAAGACTCAAAATATGTATTGAAAATTCCAAAAACCTAAATATAAAAAACTTGATAAATCCATAAAGGGAAAAATTAAAATATCGAAGAAATAATAATGAAAAATCCCAAAACTGAAACATGAAAATATTGAAGAATCGAAAAATCGAGAAATGGAGAAATTGAAAAATTCCAAAATTGAAATTTCAAAAAATCAAAAAATTGAGTAATCGAAATAGCCCAAAATCGAAAAATTAAAAACTAAAGAACAACTGAAAAATCGAAAAAGGGGAAATTGAAGAAACGAAAATTCAAAATATGAACAAAAGATAACTCGAGACATTGAAAAATTGAAGTCGAAAAATTGAAAAATTTAATATCGAAAAATGAAACAACGGAAAAATTTATTCGAAACGCCAAAAAATCGAACGACAAAGAGATCCAAAAAATGGAAAAATCTAAAATTTAATAATAAAAAAAATCGAAAAATAGAAAAATCGAATAATTGTGAAATTTTTAAAATCGGAAAATTCAACCATGAAAAACTGTACGATTAAAAAATTGAAAAATCGAGAATTGGAAATCCAAAATTGAAAAAAAGAAAAATTTTAGATTTAAAAAAAAATGGACGAATCGAAAAATTAACAATCAGAATATTTAAACATCCAAAATCTGAAATTTCAAAAAATTGATAAATCGAAAATGGAAAAATACGAAAAACTTTAATTGAGAAATCGAAAAATTGGGGACTCAAAATATGTATTCAAAAATCCAAAAACTTTAATATAAAAAAAATTGATAAATCTATAAAGGGAAAAATTAAAATAATAACGAAAAACTGAAACATGAAAATATTGAGGAATCGAAAAATTGAGAAATGGGGAAATTGAAGAATTCCAAAATTGAAATTTCAAAAAATCAAAAAATTGGAAAATCGAAATAGCCCAAAACCGAAAAATTAAAAACTGAAGAACAATTGAAACATCAAAAAGGGGAAATTGCACAAACGGCAATTCAAAATATGAACAAAGATAACACGAGACATTGAGAAATTGAAGTCGAAAAATTGAAAAATTTAAAATCGAAAAATGAAACAACGGAAAAATTTATTCGAAACGCCAAAAAATCGAACGACAAAGAGATCCAAAAAATAGAAAAATCTAAAATTTAATAATCAAAAAATTGAAAAATAGAAAAATCGAATAATTGTAAAATTTTTTAAATCGGAAAATTAAAAGATGAAAAACTGTAGGATTAAAAAATTGAAAAATCGAGAATTGGAAATCCAAAATTGAAAAAAAGAAAAATTTTAGATTTAAAAAAAAATGGACGAAACGAAAAATTAACAATCAAAATATTGAAAAATCCAAAATCTGAGATTTCAAAAATTTGATAAATCGAAAATGGAAAAATCGGAAAATTAAAATATCGAAAAATTGAGAAATCGAACCATTTAAATGGGGAAACATTGAAAAACTTTAATTGAGAAACCGAAAAATTGAAGACTCAAAATATGTATTGAAAAATCCAAAAACTTAAATATAAAAAAACTTGATAAATCCATAAAGGGAAAAATTAAAATATCGAAGAAATAATAATGAAAAATCCCAAAACTGAAACATGAAAATATTGAAGAATCGAAAAATAGAGAAATGAGGAAATTGAAGAATTCCAAAATTGAAATTTCAAAAAATCAAAAAATTGAGAACTTGAAATAGCCCAAAATCGAAAAATTAAAAACTGAAGAGCAATTGAAAAATTGAAAAGGGGGAAATTGAAGAAATGACAATTCAAAATATGAACAAAAGATAACTCGAGACATTGAAAAATTGAAGTCGAAAAATTGAAAAATTTAAAATCGAAAAATGATACAACGGAAAAATTTATTCGAAACGCCAAAAAATCGAACGACAAAGAGATCCAAAAAATGGAAAAATCTAAAATTTGATAATCAAAAAATTGAAAAATGGAAAAATCGAAAATTGGAAATCCAAAATTGAAAAAAAGAAAAATTTTAGATTTAAAAAATCGATGAATCGAAAAATTAACAATCAAAATATTGAAAAATCCAAAATCTGAAATTTCAAAAAATTGAGAAATGGAACCATTAAAATGGGGAAACATTGAAAAACTGTAATTGAGAAATCGAAAAATTGAACACTCAAAATATGTATTGAAAAATCCAAAAGCCTAAATATAAAGAAACTTTATAAATCTATAAAGGGAAAAATTAAAATATCGAAGAAATAATAATGAAAAATCCCAAAACTAAGACATGAAAATATTGAAAAATCGAAAAATTGAGAAATGGGGAAATTGAAAAATTCCAAAATTGAAATTTCAAAAAATCAAAAAATTGAGAACTTGAAATAGCCCAAAATCGAAAAATTAAAAACTGAAGAAGAATTGAAAAATTGAAAAGGGGGAAATTGAAGAAATGACAATTCAAAATATGAACAAAAGATAACTCGAGACATTGAAAAATTGAAGTCGAAAAATTGAAAAATTTAAAATCGAAAAATGATACAACGGAAAAATTTATTCGAAACGCCAAAAAATTGAACGACAAAGAGATCCAAAAAATGGAAAAATCTAAAATTTAATAATCAAAATAATTGAAAAATAGAAAAATGGAATAATTGTAAAATTTTTAAAATCGGAAAATTAAAACATGAAAAACTGTAGGATTAAAAAATTGAAAAATCGAGAATTGGAAATCCAAAATTGAAAAAAAGAAAAATTTTAGATTTAAAAAAATTGATAAATCGAAAATGGAAAAATAGGAAGATTAAAATATCGAAAAACTGAAAAATCGAACCATTAAAATGGGGAAACATTGAAAAACTTTAATTGAGAAATCGAAAAATTGAAGACTCAAAATATGTATTGAAAAATCGAAAAACTTGAATATAAAAAAACTTGATAAATCCATAAAGGGAAAAATTAAAATATCGAAGAAATAATAACGAAAAATCCCAAAACCGAAACATGAAAATATTGAATCGAAAAATCAAAAAAATTGAGAAATTGAAATAGCCCAAAATCGAAAAATTAAAAACTGAAGAACAATTGAAAAATCGAAAAATGGAAATTGAACAAACGGCAATTCAAAATATGAACAAAGAAAACTCGAGACATTGAAAAATTGAAGTCGAAAAATTGAAAAATTTAAAATCGAAAATTGAAACGACGGAAAAATTTATCCGAAACGCCAAAAAATCGAACGACAAAGAGATCCAAAAAATGGAAAAATCTAAAATTTAATAATGAAAAAATTGAAAAATAGAAAAATCGAATAATTGTAAAATTTTTAAAATCGGAAAATTAAAATATGAAAAACTGTAGGATTAAAAAATTGAAAAATCGAGAATTGGAAATCCAAAATTGAAAAAAAGAAAAATTTTAGATTTAAAAAAGGGATGAATCGAAAAATTAACAATCAATATATTGAAAAATCCAAAATATGAAATTTCAAAAAATTGATAGATCGGAAAATTAAAATATCGAAAAATTGAGAAATCAAACCATTAAAATGGGGAAACATTGAAAAACTAATTGAGAAATCGAAAAATTGAAGACTCAAAATATGTATTGAAAAATCCAAAAACTTAAATATAAAAAACTTGATAAATCCATAAAGGGAAAAATTAAAATATCGAAGAAATAATAATGAAAAATCCCAAAACCGAAACATGAAGATATTGAAGAATCGAAAAATTGGGAAATGGGGATATTGATGAATTCCAAAATTGGAATTTCAAAAAATCAAAAAATTGAGAAATCGAAGTAGCCCAAAATCGAAAAATTAAAAACTGAAGAACAATTGAAAAATCGAAAAATGGGAAATTGAACAAACGGCAATTCAAAATATGAACAAAGATAACTCGAGACATTAAAAAATTGAAGTCAAAAAATTTAAAAATTTAAAATCGAAAATGAAACAACGGAAAAATTTATTCGAAACGCCAAAAAATCGAACGACAAAGAGATCCAAAAAATGGAAAAATCTAAAATTTAATAATCAGAAAAATTGAAAAATAGAAGAATCGAACAATTGTAAAATTTTTAAAATCGGAAAATTAAAACATGAAAAACTGTAGGATTAAAAAATTGAAAAATCGAGAATTGGAAATCCAAAATTGAAAAAAAGAAAAATTTTAGATTTAAAAAAATCGAGAAATCGAACCATTAAAATGGGGAAACATTGAAAAACTTTAATTGAGAAATCGAAAAATTGAAGACTCAAAATATGTATTGAAAAATCCAAAAACTTAAATATAAAAAAACTTGATAAATTCATAAAGAGAAAAATTAAAATATCGAAGAAATAATAATGAAAAATCCCAGAATTGAAACATGAAAATAATCGAAAAATTGAGAAATGGGGAAATTGAAATTTCAAAAAATCAAAAAATTGAGAAATCGAAATAGCCCAAAATCATCACAATTGAGATAGGGCGGGTGGGCGGGCTTATATTTTGCCTTTTTGTTTTAATTGCAAAATCCATATTTTCTTGTAAAAATGTACCATTTTAACCATATTATAAGTTTCTTGTTGTGAAAAAATGTTATGAGAAAAAAAGGAAAATGTAGCCCCGCCCACCCGCCCTATCTCAATTGTGATGATTTTTTATTCGTCGTGAGTCAAGAGGGCGGAGCTTACCTGCAAAATCCTTATTTATCTACACGAAATAAAAAACATGTTTTTGAGTATCGTGTTGTTAAAAAAATTCTCACCTCACGCTTTCTCATCTCCTCTCTGACAGAGCTTTGGGGGAAAACCGGCCCTCCTACATCTTGCCAAAACTTGTAGGGATTCGTCTCCACATTGTCTAGTAAATAAACAACAAATCTTCCCCCAGTAGGCACATTTTTAACAACAATTTGGACCGGTTTGATTGTATCATTAACGTAATCATCGTCACCGTACGCTAAAAGAATTGCCAAATTTGACCCATTGGTCACAGTCTTGGTGGCTAGAACAGTTAATAGCGGATCCTGGGGGTTAACGTCAGCCTGTAGCCAACCGTCACCCAGAAAAGATAGCAAACCCATGACGGTATAAACCGGTTTTTTAATAAATTGGTTGTGAGGAGGGTGAGTGTGGTTCATCTGGAAACTACTTTAAGAATAGGAGAAACGTTCTTATTTAAGTTTGAAATACCGGGCAAAAAGTGTCCTCTGAGTAAAGTAAAACGGGTGATAATTCAAGAAACCGTTGTCGTTGCCTAAGAGCTCGATTTTGGTTTTTCTGTCCAGAGTCACCGACTTGTAATGGTCGGAGATCACTTTTACTACCATTGCTGCGTATCGGGAATCACCGCGCCACTCCCAGCTGTGGGACCAAGTGGTGATGATGTCAGACTCACTAAAAATATAACAATTAAATAAAATTTAGTTGTGTGTTTTTTTTTTAATGATTCACTCGTTTGCTATGGGTATGTCGACAAGAGAAGGAAATTTGCTGCGTAAGGAGTCCAGAAGTTCAAGGGTTCCGTTTAGGACTCCTTGGGCGGTACCATCACCCTTTCTGTGGAAAGAGAGGAATTGTATGGGACACTCGAAAGTCTCGGAACTGTTTGAGCACGCCTCCAGCAAACCCCAACACAAAGGGTGATTTTCTTCCCTAAATAACCCAGCTGGTCCACCCAGGATGGCCATGTTTTGGCCACCAAACGCACCCTTTAACCCTTCGGCACACCCAGTCACGTACTCCAGATATTCTACACTAGCGTACTTAGTGAAAAAGTTTGCTTTAAACAAAATTATACCTGATAGGGTGAAATTTAAAAGATTGTAGTTGGTCAAATCTGGCTCATTCCAAAGCTCGAATTTCCATTGAGAAACTTCAGAAGCCCCAAACTTTGCTAAAAATTACTATTTTAGTAGTGTTAACATTGTTTTCTACTCACAGATGTATCTAGTTGCAATATTTTCAACCAAATTGTGCCAAAAATCCCTCTCTTTATTTAACTCAACTAAAATAGGATAACCCATCAATTCGAACCGCGGTTTCAAATTATGTGTAACCAAAAAATCCAATAAGTCGTCCAAATACGTAAAGTTGTATCCATTTTCACTTGAAATTAAAAAAAAACGTAAAAAAAAGCAAAAAAGCCTCTACCGTGACAATGTTCGCACATTGCCGTGACCAGGATTCGAACCTGGGTTACTACGGCCACAACGTAGGGTCCTAACCACTAGACGATCACGGCTATCAGAGGACTTGTCAATGTGCGTTCTACATCGGATATACAAGCTACCAACCTGTAAAATATTAAATCGAACAGCCAGTGGATTCTAACCTGCTTTATGCCCTGATTAGGCAACGCTCCAATCAAAGCCAAGTTAAACTTTTCATCCTCGCTTAATAAAAATTTGTAAATGTCTTCTTTCGGGTCAGGTGGACTGCGGAATTTTATCGTTAATTGGACGGCGGGGAACCAATAGCAAGTGACGCGACTTGCTATTGGTTCGAAATATGGTTGTGCGAAAATTACCATAAACCCGTGCTTTCCCAGAAATGGTCGAAATTGGTAGCCGCGCTTTTTGTATCGACGGTTATTTCAGTTTGATCACTGTATGCTAAAATGACGAGGAAAATGATTATAGTATGCATTTTCACTTGATGGATGACCACACATAAACTGAAGTAGGCTGTGACGTATTGACTTATCTTGTCACTTGTCAAACGAATAAAATAATTGTGCACAATTTTGATAATAGATAGTTTATTAGAAATAGAAAAACAAACACTTAAAAATATTTATATAAATACATTGATCTATCACAGACATGCTGATTGGATCAACCATAAGATTTTCATCGCATCGCTCCACCATTTGTGTTTAATTCGAACGCAACAAGTGGAAAAGTTAAATGAACATCTTGAAAATTCGAGATCTATAAAACAGTAAAGACAAACTGAAACTTCGAACAAACAGTTTTAATATGACCACGTGTCAAACTCCGCACGTGGTTGTAACATTAAACTTAAAACTTTTAGGCTTAGAACGAACTTTACACACAGTTAATCCAATTTTTTCTCTGCTACTTTGTCCCCGATCTGGGTGATGACAAGGTGCAGTTTATTCATAAGCTCATCACATTTGACGCCGTCTTGTAAACTCAGCGACAACATATAGCAATATTTGTAAATCTCGGCTAATCTCGGACAGTCTTTGCTCGGCGACGGCTTCGTTAAGCACAACTTGACCAATATTTTTAGGACGTGTTGTAGTCGTTGCTTTATCAAGTTCAGGAGCGACAAGCAAGTCTTGAAACCCTTAGTTTCGTTCTCTTCGTCTTCGCCTTCAGGAACGTCGACTTTTTTCTCGTCGATCAGTCTCATCATGTCGTTAATCTCGATAAAAATATCCAAACAGTATTGCAGGTGCTTGATTTTGACGTTGAGTGCATTGGCGGCTGGAAAATTGGAGTGTAATTAGTAATTAGCAGTGGCTGGAAGTAATTAAATTACAAGTAATTCATTACTGTAATTCAATTACTTTTTAAGTAATGAGTAATGTAATGCAGTAGTTTTCAAAAGAAGATTAACCAGTAGAGAATAAACAAAATAATTGAAAAATCTAAAAAATCGAACAATTAAAAATTAAGAAATTAAAAATCGAAGAATTGCAAAATGGTAAAACTGAAAAATTTTAAAAAGAAAACTAACAAAATTCTATCTCCATAAATTAAAAAATCGATAAATAAAAAATGGAAAAACTGGAAAATTCAAAAGTGGAAAACTGGAATGAAAAACATACATTTAAAATTGAAACATTGCGAAGTAAAAATAGAAAAATGCGATAATTGAAAATCATAATCAACAAAATCGTTAAAAACTGGGAAATCGAAAAACTGAAAAATCGAATAATTAAAAAATTCCAAACTTTGGATATCGAAAAACATTTAATGAAAACTAAAAAAATTGCAAAATAAAAATCCAAAAACTGTAAAAACACAAATGAAAATATCTAAAAAGTCTAAAAGGAAAAATAATTGAAAAATCGAAAAAATAAACATCCAAAAACTGAAGAATCGAAATATTGAAGAAACGAGAAATTTAAAAATCATAAAAGTAAAAATCGGGAAACTGAAAAGTCGAAAAAATGAGAATCGAAATTTGAAAATGGAAAAATTGAAACATTTAAAACTAAAAACTACAAAAATTGCAAAATATTTGAAAAATCTAAGAAATCGAACAATTAAAATTTAAAAATCGAAAAATTGCAAAGTGGTAAAATTGAAAAATTTAAAAACGAAAACTTAAAAAATTCCATCCGGATAAATAGAATAATCGATAATTAAAAAATCAATAAACTAAGAAATCGAAAATTCAAACGTGGAAAATCGAAATGAAAAACTTCTACATTTGCAATTGAAAACTTGAATAATAACCAAATAAAACCCAACAACTTAAAAATCAAACATGAAAAAATAAAAAAAATTCAATCTTTGAAAATCGAAAAACATTTAATGAAAACTAGACAAATTGTAGAATAAAAATCCAAAAATTGTAAAAAAAAACACAAAAAGAGAGAGAGGGTGGGTGGGCGGGGCTAGTACCTGCTAAGATAAGACTGATTTTGGCAAATGAGATACTCGCTAAGAAAATAGTGGGCGGGGCTAGTGCCTGCTAAAATAAGACCGATTTTGGCAAATGACATACCTTCCAAGAAAAGGGAGGGTGGGTGGGCGGGGCTAATACCTGGTACGACAAAAGTGATTTTGGCAAATGACATACCTTCCAAGAAAGGAGAGGGTGGGTGGGCAGGACTAGTACCTGCTAAGATAAGAGTGATTGTGACAAATGAGATACCCTCTAAGAAAAGAAAGGGCGGGTGAGTGGGCGGGGCTTGTATCTGCTAAGATGGGTACCAAAAAGTCTCCCGAATATTATTTAAAAAAAAACTACCGATTAAACCAGTAAGAAACTAATTAATCGAAAAATTCAAAAGTTAAAAAAAATGTAAAGTAAAATTTTTGCAAATCGAATATTGAAAAATTAAATGAAAACTAGGAAAATTACAAAGTAAAAATCCAAAAACAGAAAAAAACATAAATAAAAATATCTGAAAAGTGCCAAAAGGAAAAATTGCATAATAACTAAAAAATCGAAAACTTCGAAAAATTAAAAATCCAGAAATTGAAGAAACGAGAAATTTAAAAATTATGAAAGTAAAAATTGAAACATTTAAAACTAAAAATTACAAAAAATGCAAAATTATTGAAAAATTAAAAAATTAACAAGTTAAAAATCCAAAAATTGCAAAATGGTAAAACTGAAAAATTTAAAAACGATAATTAGAAAAATGCCATTTCGATAAATTGAAAAATCAATAAATAAAAAATCGACAAACTAAGAAATCGAAAAATTAGAAGATTCAAAAGTGGAAAATTGGAATCAAAAACTTCTACATTTAAAACTGAAAACTTGAATAATTGCCAAATAAAACCCAAGAACTTAAAAATCAAAGAATCGAATAATAAAAAATTGTAAAATAAAGAATTAAAAAACAGAAAAAACTAAAAATGAAAAAACTGTAAAAATTTTATAAAGGAAAAATGCAAAGTTAAAATCGAAAAATCGGAAAATTAGAAATCGAAAAACTGATAAATTGAAAAATTGAAACATTTAAAACCGAGGACTACAAAAATTGCAAAATAATTGAAAAATCTAAAGAATCGAACAGTTAAAAATTAAGAAATTAAAAATCGAAGAATTGCAAAATGGTGAAACTGAAAAATTTTAAAAATGAAAACTAAAAAAATTCCATCTCCATAAATTAAAAAATCGAAAAACTGGAAAATTCAAAAGTGGAAAACTGGAGTGAAAAACTTCTGAAACATTGCGAAGTAAAAATAGAAAAATGCGATAATTGAAAATCACCAAAATCGTTAAAAACTGGGAATTGGAAAAACTGAAAAATCGAACAATTAAAAAATTTCAAACTTCGGATATCGAAAAACATTTAATGAAAACTAGAAAAATTGCAAAATGAAAATCGAAAAAATAAATATCCAGAAACTAGAGAATCGAAAGATTGAAGAAAAGAGAATTTAAAAATCATAAAAAAAAAATCGGGAAACTGAAAAGTCGAAAAACTGAGAATTGAAATTTAAAAATGGAAAAATTGAAACATTTAAAACTAAAAACTACAAAAATTGCAAAATATTTCAAAAATCCAAGAAATCGAACAATAAAAAAAAAATCGAAAAATTGCAAAGTGGTAAAATTGAAAAATTTAAAAACGAAAACTAAAAAAATCCATCGCGATAAATAGAATAATCGATGAATAAAAAATCGATAAACTAAGAAATCGAAAAATGGGAAAATTCAAAGTTAAAAAAAATCAAAATTATAATTGAAAAATCAAACATGAAAAAATAAAAAAAAATTCAATCTTTGAAAATCGAAAAACATTTAATGAAAACTAGACAAATTGCAGAACAAAAATCCAAAAATTGTAAAAAAACAAGAAGACAGAGGGTGGGTGGGCGGGGCTAGTGCCTGCTAAGATAAGACTGATTTTGGCAAATGAGATACCCGCTAAGAAAATAGTGGGCGGGGCTAGTAGCTGCTAAAATAAGACCGATTTTGGCAAATGACATACCTTCCAAGAAAAGAGAGGGTGGGTGGGCGGGGCTAGTACCTGCTAAGATAAGAGTGGTTTTGGCAAATGAGATACCCTCCAAGAAAAGAGAGGGCGGGTGGGCGGGGCTAATACCTGTCTAGATAAGAGTGATTTTGGCAAATGAGAAACCCTCTAAGAAAAGAGAGGGTGGGTGGGCGGGGCTAATATTTGCTACGACAAGAGTAATTTTGGTAAATGACATACCTTCCAAGAAAAAAGAGGGTGGGTGGGCGGGGCTAATACCTGATACGACAAGAGTGATTTTGGCAGATGACATACCTTCCAAGAAAAGAGAGGGTGGGTGGGCGGGGCTAGTATCTGCTAAGATAAGAGTGATTTTGTCAAATGAGATACCCTCTAAGAAAAGAGAGGGCGGGTGGGCGGGGCTAGTACGTGCTAAGATGGGTACCAAAAATTCTCCCGAACATTATTTAAAAAAAAAACTACCGATTAAACCAGTAAGAAACTAATTAGTTGAAAAATTCAAAAGTTAAAAAAAAATGTAAAGTAAAAATCGAAAAATGCGATATTTTGAAAATCGCAGAAATCAAAAAATTAAAAATTGGGAAATCGAATAATTGAAAAATTAAATGAAAACTAGGAAAATTGCAAAGTAAAAATCCAAAAACAGTAAAAAACATGAATAAAAATATCTGAAAAGCGTTAAAATGAAAAATTCCATAACTAAAAAATCGAAAAAGCAAAAATCGAGAAACTGAAAAGTCGAAAAACTGAAGAATTGGAAGTTGAAAATGGAAAAATTGAAACGTTTAAAACTAAAAACTACAAAAATTGCAAAATATTTAAAAAATCTAAGAAATCGAACAATAAAAAAAAAATCGAAAAATTGCAAAGTGGTAAAATTGAAAAATTTAAAAACGGAAAATAAAAAAATTCCATCGCGATAAATAGAATAATCGATAAACTAAGAAATCGAAAAATTGGAAAATTCAAACGTGGAAAATCGATGTGAAAAACTTCTACATTTGAAATTGAAAACATGAATAAATGCCAAATAAAACCCAACAACTTAAAAAAAATCAAACTTACAATTGAAAAATCAAACATGAAAAAATAAAAAAAAATCAATCTTTGAAAATCGAAAAACATTTAATGAAAACTAGACAAATTGCAGAATAAAAATCCAAAAATTATTAAAAAAACACAAGAGAGAGGGTGGGTGGGCGGGGCTAGTACCTGCTAAGATAAGACTGATTTTGGCAAATGAGATACCCGCCAAGAAAATAGTGGGCGGGGCTAGTACCTGCTAAAATAAGACCTATTTTGGCAAATGACATAGCTTCCAAGAAAAGAGGGGGTGGGTGGGCGGGGCTAATACCTGTCTGGATAAGAGTGATTTTGGCAAATGACATACCTTCCAAGAAAAGAGAGGGTGGGTGGGCGGGGCTAGTACCTGCTAAGATAAGAATTATTTTGGCAAATGATCTACCCTCTAAGAAAAGACAGGGTGGGTGGGCGGGGCTAATACCTTATACGACGAGTGATTTTGGCAAATGACACCTTCCAAGAAAAGAGAGGGTGGGTGGGCGGGGCTAGTACCTGCTAAGATAAGACTGATTTTGGCAAATGAGATACCCGCTAAGAAAATAGTGGGCGGGGCTAGTACCTGCTAAAATACAACCGATTTTGGCAAATGACATACCTTCCAAGAAAAGAGAGGGTGGGCGGGCGGGGCTAATACCTGTCGGGATAAGAGTGATTTTGGCAAATGAGATACCCTCCAAGAAAAGAGAGGGCGGGTGGGCGGGGCTAGTATCTGCTAAGATGGGTACCAAAAAGTCTCGCGAATATTATTAAAAAAAAAACCTACCGATTAAACCAGTAAGAAACTAATCAATCGAAAAATTCAAAAGTTAAAAAAAATGTAAAGTAAAAATCGAAAAATGCGATATTTTGAAAGTCGCAAAAATCAAAAAATTAAAAATTGGGAAATCGAATAATTGGAAAATTAAATGAAAACTAGGAAAATTACAAAGTAAAAATCCAAAAACAGTAAAAAAACAAATAAAAATATCTGAAAAGTACCAAAAGGAAAAATTGCATAATAACTAAAAAATCGAAAACTTCGAAAAATAAAAAATCCAGAAATTGAAGGAACGAGAAATTTAAAAATCATAAAAGTAAAAATTGAAACATTTCTAAAAAATTGAACAATAAAAATTTAAAATTAACAAGTTAAAAATCCAAAAATTGCAAAATGGTAAAACTGAAAAATTTAAAAAAGAAAATTAGAAAAATGCCATTTCGATATATTGAAAATAAATAAATAAATAAAAAATCGACAAACTAAGAAATCGAAAAATTACAAAATTCAAAAGTGAAAAATTGGAATCAAACACTTCTACATTTAAAACTGAAAACTTGAAAAATTGTCAAACAAAACCCAAGAACTTAAAAATGAAAGAATCGATTAACAAAAAATTGTAAAATAAAAAATTGCGAAAATTAGATAAGAGTGATTTTGGCAAATGAGATAGCGTTTAAGGAAAGAGAGGGCGGGTGGGCGGGGCTAGTACTTGCTAGGATAAGAGTGTTTTGGCAAATGACATATCTTCCAAAATGAGAGGGGGTGGGTGGGCGTGGCTAATTCCCGCTAAGATAAGAGTGATTTTGGCAAATGAGATAGCCTTTAAGGAAAGAGAGGGGGGGTGGGAGGGGCTAGTGTCTGCTAAGATAAGATTAGTTTTATCAAACGATGTATCCTCTAAGAAATTTAATTAAATTATTATAAGAAAAGACACTAGAGGCGCCAAAGCACTTTCAAATTCTTCCCAAATAGGAATACCTAGAACTTCAAGATTGTTTTATTTTAAATTAAAAAAATGTCCCAAAATTAACTCAAAAAATAGAACACAAAGTTCCCTAACGTTGTTTTAAATAATTTGCAAAAAAATCTCCAAAATAATACACCATAGGTACCAAAAAGTCTCCCGAATAATATTAAAAAAAGGCAATGACTTTGTAAAAATGACGAATTTTTCCGAAAAAATTCTTTCCGTTTATGAAGAACTCGATTATGATGAACACGTGTGACAGTAAAAGTTGTTACGTATATTAATTTTTACTAAATGTCAGACGTAATTCTAACCTCAAATTCACTAGTTGATATTTTAAGCAAATATTCTGTTGTTGAAAGAAAACCATATTAAAAAATAAAGCCAAAGATTAAGTAACGCCCACCCGCCTTGGTCAGGCGGAGGGGCGGAGCTTAATTGCAAAATCCATTTCTCTATAAAAGTTGCCATTTTGAACGTGTTTTAAGTTTCTTGTTACGAAAAGACTACATGTATTTAGAAAAAGGCTAAATATAAGCCCCGCCCACCCGCCCTATCGCAATTGTGATGGTTTTTCATTCGCCGTGAGCCGGAGGGCGGGGCTTAATTTCAAAATCCATATTTCCCCACAAAATTTACTACTTTAAACACGTTTTAAGTTTCAGTTTGCATTACTTTGTAAAAGTAATTAGTAATTAGGAAAAAAAAATGCAAGTTTAACACGTACTGTCTGCTAAGTACTCAGACAAAGCCACTCGTTGCATCTGTGAAGTGAAGTAGCTGATTACGTCTAGAGAGAGCAGGTAGTACTTGGAAGCTTTTTCGTAGTTGATTTTCGCCAACTGGATCACGTTTTTCCGGTTAGCGGAGTCGTTCCCGGACATCCAAATATGGCTATGGTACAGACAACCAATGCGATAGTGGATCATAGCGGCCCTGTACTGGTACAACGGAAATTTCGGATTGGCTTCGTCGAAATCGCAGTACTGCAGAGCCTTCTGCAGCACTTCTATGACTTGTCTCTCAGCTTCGGTTTTCGTCTGAAACAAAATCGAAAAATGCGATTGAAAACTACAAAGACTCTCAATCACACTTACTATGTTCGACGGCGGGTTCTCGTGCATGATCGTCCCCATATTGAAGAACGCCGTCGACAGTTCCCACCTCACCGCGTCCCAAATCCCCGGACAATGTTTCCTCTCCCCCAAAACCTGTAACGCTTTTTTATAATTAATGAACGCCTTGTTGTAGTGTAGTTTCTCCTTCTGGCTCAACTCCCCCCGATTTTGTGGAGTGTTGGCATGCGCGAGCAACCTATGCAGGTGCCCCATGTTCGTATACAGCAGCGCTATATTAGCATCATCTTTAACTTTCTCAAAGACGTTAAGTCCCTTGATTAAGTACGCTTCCGCTTTGTTGCACATTTCTTCAGTCACGTCCGACGCAGACTTGGCTTTGTTTAAGTAAAAAGAGGCCACTTCGTTCAAGCTGTTACCCAGTCGGCGCAGAATGCTTTCGTTTTCGCACGATTTCAGAGCTTCGTCGTAGCACTCCACCCCCTTAAGCAACATCTGCTCGATCGTTCGTATGTCGTAAATAAAAACGACTTTCATATTCGATTCGCCGATACTAACGTTATATGATTGTTCGTCTTTTTCCAGATGTCCCAACATTTTTAGATCTTCTTCAGTGTTCGCTTGGAATTGTTGTCTATAAGGGTCGACTTTATCCCAGTGTTGGACCATCATAATGCAGCAGTCACCAGCTCGACCCAGGAGACAATTTTCTTCCAAACCGTGATAGTTGTAGAGGAGTTTGTTCATGATGAGTTGGCACCTCGCCAACAAACCTATAGTTCTCAAACTGTTACCATAACAACCTGATACGAAATGTTGCTCAGACAGCGTCGCGTAGACCAAAACCGCCTTTTCATAAAGCAAAGTTTTCAAGTGATCTTTCCACGAAATGTTACTACTTTGTTGGTTCTGCCAAGTCTGCGCTTCGTTGCTATTTTTCAACAACAAAGCGCTGTCTGTTTTATCCCCAATCTTCTCCTTTTTCTTCTTTTCTTTGTTTTTCTTTTTCTTTTGAGCGTCGTTCGTTTCGTTTAAAGTCCCGTACGGCATCGGAATCGGTTCGAACGGTTTGGCAAACAAAACTTCCTCTTCTTGTTGCTTTGAAGTCTCTTTGGTTTGTTGAAAGTGTTTCAAACACTTCAACCCTAAAGCGACGTGTTGTAAGGCTTGCAGACACCGTTCTTCGACCGTCCCGTTGATGGGTGGAGGACTCCTGTAGTGGTTTTTAAATTTTTGGACACACCCATTTGGGTCCAAAACTAAAACCTTCATCCCTGGATCCTTATCGCTGTCGAGGAGGTCTTCATCGTCGTCGTACATCATGCTTTCGTCGTCCACTTCCATTTGTTCTAAACCGGGACTTTCGGGGTTGGTTCCCGCGGGAACGTACAAATCTGATAACATATAGTGCGACGATGTAACGATTTCGGGATATTCGCCCTCAGGCAACAATTTGATTGAGTTTTTTAACAACATTCGAATAGTACCGGGTTGGCGATCAGACGTATGTTTCATGTTGCGCGCCACCCTGTATAGGAGCATCCCCACAGGGATGGTAAACGGGTTCTTCACGTCCTCCTTCTCCGAACACAATGACGTCAAATCGTACAATTTTACAACATCTTCGTTTTTACCCTTAAACAACCAATACGTGTGACCAGCTTTAGTGGCGTTCGATTTCAGGAATGATAAAATGCTTTGAGCGACGTCCCGGATTAGTTTAGGCGAAAACTTGGAATTATCCAACCGGGGCAAGTCTTCAGTTTTGATTAATTCGTACTTTTGGACGATCCCCTTGAGGTGGTAACACATCACCACCTCAGGTACATTGGACATGAGATTGTCCAACCAATAGTCAATCCCCGTTAGCACGTTAATTGGTTTGCTGACGTCACGCAGGCGCAGCGAAATGCACGGGTGAGTCCCGCCCCCGAAAATCGGCAAGTCCGTACCTGCACAACCACACTTAACCAAATTTCCAACTAAAAACAGTCTTACCAATCAACATTTCAATGTCTTCAAAGGTCCACACGACGTTCCTGTTGTAATTGTGGTCAAAGGGCGACGGATCGGGGGTTGCAGACACGGCTTCAGGTAACGGGGGTCCATGTAAAGGTATCGGCAACGTGCCTTGAGCCTCAAATGGTGAGTCCTTAACGTCACCCTCGACTAAACTGTGGTACAAAAACTTGGACACTAGACTCTTTTTTTGCAAAGCTTCCCGGCGCCGACTTTTCGTATATAAATTTTTATCCGAAGCGACGGTCTCGTGGTTGACGGCGTCATACAAAAACTCCTTCAGCCACTTCCACTCAGTCTCCGAAGTCTTCAATAAGTGTTTGTAAATGTCAAAGTCGTCCAGAAGGAGGGTGTTTTCAACCCTATGCACAAGCATGCTGATGTGTGCTTTGGAGTATGGTAGCTTCAGCAAGTTTTTGATGTTTTCGGCGTCCGACACCACGTCGACTTCGCCGACGCAGTCCGGGAACATGTGCGCCATGCGGAAACTAACACAAATAAAAACGGATTTAATCAAGGCAACAACTCACCTCGAGAAACCTTTGCGGTGGTACAAAACATGCTGCAGCCCGTACGAATCCGCCGAACTACTCAACCAGTTCGACGGGGGCAAATTTAAATCGGTGTTACACTTAAGTTTCAAGTACTTTGCGGGATTTGGAACGGAATATTTCACGACAGCTGTAGATTTGACTTCTTCGTTTTCGGTCGGGTCGTTTTCGTCGTCTTCCATTTTCTGTGAACGGAGCGGTGGGTTAGTAAAGAGTGCGACCACGGGTTGTTGAGGCTCTAATACAAAACACAAACTCATGAGACCGAGTTCTAGAAGGTTCGGTTTTGAAAGTGTGCGCGATGACGCGCGGTTGTGCGGGTCCGGTTTGATCTTACCTCGATATTGGGGGCTGCGGCTCGGTGAATTAGTCTGTATTTTTCGTTTTAAATAACCAAAAACATGTTTTGGAGACACTTTTGAAATTTTTTGACATTTGCGGAAATCATTCTACGCCGACTGTCAGAAAGTCGGGCTGCCAACTTTTTTGTCGATGGAAAGTCGAAAGTGGGACGAAATAGTTTATAAAAATTAAATTGTTGTTTTTGAGACAGAAATAGAGGTAATAAACGTTGTATTGTTGTATTTAGTTAAAAAATACGTTAATGGTTTTAACTAGGTGGCCAAAATGTTTGTTTTGTGCGCTTAGGTTGGCAGCACAAGTCTGTCAAAGTTGTCAAAAGTGCCTTTTCAAAAGTTGTTTGTGTGATAATAATAATAATAATGCATGATAATTTTGTGATACCTTTATTAAATATGTTGTTTGATGATTCGTACCATGAATAAGAAGCATGGTTGTGTAAATTCGGTCTTTTAATATTTTTTCTGTCGATGGTTAGGAAACATGTTCGAACCATGAATTTCTCCCAACCCCAAAGTGGCACCATGAAAGCTACTACCAAAAGCAAACTGCTTCAAAACACTGGTGACAAAGTCCCGGTCTTGCCACTGAAGAAATATAACACAGGTAAGAAATATACCAGGTGTCTCAAATTTATTTAATAGACCAATGGACGTGAGAGAACTATTACCATAGATTAATATAGATGCGACATACAGGCTGATTTTGCAAAACCACTCTTATTGACATTGGAGTCCTCAAGCGCCAAATTTAAATAGTCAATGCCAATAAAAAAACTTGTTTCACTACAACTCGTCGCCTGAGAACTTGTTTGATCTACAGACCAGAGCGCGCTCAGGCCAATGTCGACTCTAAGCGTTCAGGACCGATTCGGTTGGGTTTGGACTATAATTTCTGCGGGAAATAGTTGTTTGGTCGGTTTTCATAACGACTAAGTGAATATTTTTGGTACATATTTAGATGATTTTACATATTTTGTTCAACTAAGAATTAATTCTTTATTTGTGTTTTATACTAGCAAAACGTCTTAAACTAAGAATATTGTTGAAATCGTAATAACCCAATGGATTTTTTTCGGGAAAATGTTTTGTAAACACTGTGTCCTATTTTCTATGAATTTTTAAATGTTTTTAGTGACAATTTTTGTATGATATTAACAGTGAGAAAAAAAATGAAAAATAAAAATAATCGAAAAATGAAACATCAGAAAATCGAAAAAAGTAAAACTCAAAAATCTAAAATTTAAAAACCGAATAACGAAAAATAAAGAAATCGTGGAGTCGAAAAGTTAAAAATTAAACAATTTATAAATTGAGAAATTGACAATCAAAATATCGAAAAGTTCAAATCTCGATAAATCGAGAAATCAAAAAACTTAAAAATTCGAAAGATTATAAGTCGAAAAATCGAAAAATAGAGAAATCGACTAACAAAAAGTTAAAAGTAGAAAAATTGGAAAAGCGGAAAAATCAAAAAACGAAAAAATGGAAAACTGGAAAACTGAGAAACCGAAATAGGCCAAAATAAAAAATTGAAAAACTGATAAATCGAAAACCTGAACAATCAAATCTCGATAAATCGGGAATGAAAAATTAACAAATCGAAAAATTGAAAAACAGAACATCTAAAATCAGGAAGTCGAAAAATAGAAAGATTAAAAAATATTGAAAAATTAAAACATCAAAAGATTGAAAAATCTAAAATTGAAAAATCCAAAAATTGTAAAACCGAAAAAGTAAAAAGGTTGACACATCGAAAAACCCAGAAGTCAAAAATAGAAAAGCCAAAGAATTGAAATATTGAAAAATCCTAAAACCGAAATATCTAAAAAGTGAAGTCGAAATATAGAAACCTTAAAAAATCGAAAAATGGAAAAATCAAAAACCTGAAAAATTAAAGAATTGAAGAACAGGAAAATGGAAACACTCGAAGGTCAAGAAATGGGAAAATCAAAACATCGATTAATTGAAAAATCGAAAAATTGAGAGTTGATAAAAGTCAAATTTGAAAAATTAAAAAATCGAAAATTTGACAAAATGACAATTGAAAAACACAAAATCTAAAACCGGGAAGTCGAAAAAGCAAAAGATCAAGAAATGGAAACATTTGAAAGATTCGAAAACTTGAAAAATTGAAATATCGTAAAACTGAAATGAAAAATCGAGAAATCGAAAAATCTAAAAAAATTTAAAAATCTAAAAATTGAAAAATCGAAAAAGTAAATCGACACATCGAAAAATCCAGGAGTCAAAAATCCCAAAACTGAAATATCGAAAAACTGAAAAATGAAAGAAAACTTAAAAATGGGAAACTTAAATCGGGAAATCAAAACATTGAAAAATCGAAAAATTTAAAACGACAATTGAAAACAGAAAATCTAAAACCGGGAAGTCGAAAAATCGAAAGATTAAGCAATCGAAAAATTGAAAAATCAAAAAAGTGAAAAAAGCGACACATCGAAAACTCCAGAAGCAAAAAATCGAAAAGTCGAAGAATCAAAATATTGAAAAATCCCTAAACTGAAATATCGAAAAACTGAAAAATGGAAAACTTGAAAAATCCGAAAACTGAAATATACAAAAACTGAGAACCTAAAAAGTCGAAAAATTGAGCAATAGATAAATCCAAAAAGTGAAGTCGAAAAATTGAAACCTTAAAAAAATAAAAAAATCAAAAATCAAAAACCTGAAAAATCGAAAAATTAAAGAATTGAAGATCAGGAATATCGAAACCCTCGAAAGTCAAGACAAGAAATGGGAAAATCAAAACATCGATTAATTGAAAAATCGAAAAATTGACAGTTATAAATGTCAAATTTGAAAAATTAAAAAATCGAAAATTTGACAAAATAACAATTGAAAAACACAAAATCTAAAACCGGGAAGTTGAAAAATCGATTGATTAAGAAATCAAAACATTTGAAAAATTCGAAAACATGAAAAACGGAAATATCGAAGAACTGAAATGAAAAATCGAGAAATCGAAAAATCGAAAATTTTATATCTTGAAAAATGAAAATATCCAAAAACTGAAAAATCTAAAATTTAAAAACCGAAGAATTGAAAATTCGACAATTGAAGAACAGAAAATCTAAAACCGGGAAGTCGAAAAATCGAAAGATTTGAAAAATTGAAATATGGAAGAGCTGAAATGAAAAATCGACAAATCGAAAAATCAAAAATTTTAAATATTGAAAAATTAGAATACCAAAAAATTGAGAAATTTAAAATTCAAAAATCGAAAAAGTAAAAAGTCGGCACATCGAAAAATCCAGATGTCAAAAATGGAAAAGTCGAAGAACAGAAATATTGAAAAATCCCAAAACTGAAATATCGAAAAAGTGAAAAATGAAAGAAAAACTGAAATATCCAGAAAGTGAGAATCTAAAGAATCGAAAAATTGAGAATCAAAAAAGTGAAGTCAAAATATCGAAACCTTAAAAAAATCGAAAAATTGAAAAATCAAAAACCTGAAAAATTAAAGAATTGAAGAACAGGAAAATGGAAACACTGGAAGGTCAAGAAATGGGAAAATCAAAACATCGATTAATTGAAAAATCGAAAAATTGAGAGTTGATAAAAGTCAAATTTGAAAAATTAAAAAATCCAAAATTTGACAAAATAACAATTGAAAAACACAAAATCTAAAACCGGGAAGTCGAAAAAGCAAAAGATCAAGAAATCGAAACATTTGAAAAATTCGAAAACTTGAAAAATTGAAAAATCGTAAAACTGAAATGAAAAATCGAAAAATCGAAAAATCTAAAAAAATTTAAAAATCTAACATTTAAAAATCTAAAATTTAAAAATATAAAAATTGAAAAATCGAAAAAGTAAATCGACACATCGAAAAATCCAGAAGCAAAAAATTGAAAAGTCGAAAAATCAAAATATTGAAAAATCCCTAAACTGAAATATCGAAAAACTGAAAAATGGAAGAAAAACTGAAAAATGGAAAACCTGAATAATCCGAAAATTTTAATATCCAAATACTGAGAACCTAAAAAGTCGAAAAATTGAGCAATAGATAAATCCAAAAAGTGAAGTCGAAAAATTGAAACCTTAAAAAAAGAAAAAAATCAAAAATCAAAAACCTGAAAAATCGAAAAATTAAAGAATTGAAGATCAGGAATATCGAAACCCTCGAAAGTCAAGACAAGAAATGGGAAAATCAAAACATCGATTAATTGAAAAATCGAAAAATTGACAGTTATAAATGTCAAATTTGAAAAATTAAAAAATCGAAAATTTGACAAAATAACAATTGAAAAACACAAAATCTAAAACCGGGAAGTCGAAAAATCGATTGATTAAGAAATCAAAACATTTGAAAAATTCGAAAACATGAAAAACGGAAATATCGAAGAACTGAAATGAAAAATCGAGAAATCGAAAAATCGAAAATTTTATATCTTGAAAAATGAAAATATCCAAAAACTGAAAAATCTAAAATTTAAAAACCGAAGAATTGAAAAATCGACAATTGAAGAACAGAAAATCTAAAACCGGGAAGTCGAAAAATCGAAAGATTTGAAAAATTTAAATATGGAAGAGCTGAAATGAAAAATCGACAAATCGAAAAATCAAAAATTTTAAATATTGAAAAATTAGAATACCAAAAAATTGAGAAATTTAAAATTTAAAAATCGAAAAAGTAAAAAGTCGGCACATCGAAAAATCCAGATGTCAAAAATGGAAAAGTCGAAGAACAGAAATATTGAAAAATCCCAAAACTGAAATATCGAAAAAGTGAAAAATGAAAGAAAACTGAAATATCCAGAAAGTGAGAATCTAAAGAATCGAAAAATTGAGAATCAAAAAAGTGAAGTCAAAATATCGAAACCTTAAAAAAATCGAAAAATTGAAAAATCAAAAACCTGAAAAATTAAAGAATGGAAGAACAGGAAAATGGAAACACTGGAAGGTCAAGAAATGGGAAAATCAAAACATCGATTAATTGAAAAATCGAAAAATTGAGAGTTGATAAAAGTCAAATTTGAAAAATTAAAAAATCCAAAATTTGACAAAATAACAATTGAAAAACACAAAATCTAAAACCGGGAAGTCGAAAAAGCAAAAGATCAAGAAATCGAAACATTTGAAAAATTCGAAAACTTGAAAAATTGAAATATCGTAAAACTGAAATGAAAAATCGAGAAATCGAAAAATCTAAAAAAATTTAAAAATCTAACATTTAAAAATCTAAAAATTGAAAAATCGAAAAAGTAAATCGACACATCGAAAAATCCAGAAGCAAAAAATTGAAAAGTCGAAAAATCAAAATATTGAAAAATGGAAAACCTGAATAATCCGAAAATTTTAATATCCAAAAACTGAGAACCTAAAAAGTCGAAAAATTGAGCAATAGATAAATCCAAAAAGTGAAGTCGAAAAATTGAAACCTTAAAAAAATAAAAAATCAAAAACCTGAAAAATCGAAAAATTAAAGAATTGAAGAACAGGAATATGGAAACCCTCGAAAGTCAAGACAAGAAATGGGAAAATCAAAACATCGATTAATTGAAAAATCGAAAAATTGACAGTTTATAAATGTCAAATTTGAAAAATTAAAAAATCGAAAATTTGAAAAAACGACAATTGAAAAACAGAAAATCTATAACCGGGAAGTCGAAAAATCGATTGATTAAGAAATCAAAACATTTTTCGAAAACATGAAAAACGGAAATATCGAAGAACTGAAATGAAAAATCGAGAAATCAAAACATCGAAAATTTTATATCTTGAAAAATGAAAATATCAAAAAACTGAAAAATCTAAAATTTAAAAACCGAAGAATTGAAAAACTGAAAACCTAAAACCGGGAAGTCGAAAAATCGAAAGATTAAGAAATCGAAACATTTGAAAAATTGAAATATGGAAGAGCTGAAATGAAAAATCGACAAATCGAAAAATAAAAAATTTTACATATTGAAAAATTAGAATACCAAAAAATTGAGAAATTAAAAATGGAAAAGTCGAAGAACAGAAATATTGAAAAATCCCAAAACTGAAATATCGAAAAACTGAAAAATGAAAGAAAAACTGAAATATCCAGAAACTGAGAATCTAAAGAATCGAAAAACTGAGAATCAAAAAAGTGAAGTCAAAATATCGAAACCTGAAAAAATAGAAAAATTGAAAAATCGACAAATAAAGAGTTTATAAAAGTCAAAAATTGAAAAATCGAAATATTTAAAAATCGTAAAATTGAAGAGAAAAACTGAAAACCGAGAAATTGAAAAATTGAGAAATTGTAAAATCCAAAAATTGAATAATAAGTAGGAGTAAACTGAAGAGTCCAGAAATTATGGTCGAAACCGGTTAGGATGTGTATGAGACCACGAAACGCTTAGAGTCGACATTGGCCTGAGTGCGCTCTGGTCTGTAGATCAAACAAGTTCTCAGACGACGAACTGTAATTTATGTGACCTGAATTAAAGTGAAAAAACACTGTTGTCAACATAAGTCGAGGGGTCCTCAACCGTCATTTAATTTAAACTATGACGCTTCTCTATGTTCTCTGCTATTACTATGTAGTACTGCTAGAAAGTACCGAAAAACAATGTCACATATAAAGTTTTTATAGGTTATGTCAGTACCCGTAAGAGTTTTTTTTGACATACTGAGTCATTACATTGTAACATGAGCGCAGCATAATTGTACTGTCAAAACTTCCCCGCCTTTAAAGTACAATAAAATATAAGTTAAAGTTTTGTTTTAAAGGAACAAAAAACGAAGACAACGATTCCCCCACTCGCGCAAGCACATCACTCAAAAGATTAAACTCTAAAGACCTTAACACCGTCGACAAAAAATTCAAAATCGAGCAAAACCCCCTAGAAGACGCTCTTTTTGACGATATCAACCTAACCCAGATCATAATGGCCACTGAAAAGTCCGTCTCCACTAGCATCCGTTCCAAATCCCCAGACGACCCCTTCAACGATACCATAGAAACCACCCCCAGTCAATTATCCCAATTATTCGAAGACACTTCACTCAAAATCGAACCCGAAAAACGCGAAAAGTCCACCCTCCTCCAGAAAATCAAATCGGAGAACCTGGGGGACCTCCTCAACGAGAGCAACCGAGGCGAAGTCGAGGACTTCTTCAACCGAATCGAACACTCGGTGAGCAGTCTCGGCACCGAGGCCGAAAACGACGAAAACATTACGAAAATTTTGGAGAATTTGTTCGCCACTCAGAACGTGAGTTTGGATAAGAGTGTGCGTGAAGCGACCCAGAAAGACGTTTCTGTGTCTTCTATTAACGCCAGTTTTGTGAGCGCGTTGAAGCAGGTGTTTTTGGCGAACATGTCCAGGGATAAAGTTCCCGCGAAAATTTCAAACGAGACGGTGGTGCATGATGGGGGTGTTAGGTTCGTGGAAGCGGGACCCTTCTATGGGTTACCGTTGAGAGTCAAGGAACTTATAATGATGTATAAAGGAATCGAGGAGTTGTATGACTGGCAAGACGAGTGTTTGAATCTTCCTGCAGTTAAGAATCGCAGAAATTTGATCTACGCGTTGCCAACTAGTGGGGGGAAGACTCTAGTGGCTGAGATTTTGATGTTGAGGGAGGTGATTTGTTATAAAAGGAACACCCTGTTTATTTTACCGTATGTGGCGATAGTACAGGAGAAGGTAAATAAGAGACGATTGTTTTTTGGGGTTGTTTTGATGCGATTTTTGTAGGTGTGGGGGTTGTCACCCTTTGCCGTCGCTCTAGATTTCTTAGTCGAAGAATATGCGGCCAGTAAGGGTGTTTACCCCCCTCGTAAACGCCGCCGCAAAAATTCCATATACATAGCCACTATTGAAAAAGCCTTAGGTTTATTGAACAGTCTCATAGAAACCGGAAGAATAAACGAAATCGGTCTTATAGTAGTAGATGAGTTGCATCTAGTGGGAGAGCAAGGCAGAGGCTCCACTCTGGAAGCCCTCCTCACGAAGATGATGTTCATTAAAGGTGATTATCGCGTATCATTAATAATAAAAATAATAATAATAGCTTCACCCTCTCCATATAGCTGACGTACAAATCGTCGGGATGAGTGCAACTATAGGAAACGTTGAAGATTTATGTACTTTTCTGGACGCCGAAATCTACACTCAAAATTTCAGGCCCGTCGAATTGACCGAGTACGTCAAGTGCGGCCCTGAAATCGCCAAAATCAGCTACAACAAAAAGGACGAGTTGTTGAAAGTGGTGAGGAGGATCGACGACAGCAAGGTAAAACTTACTGATGACGTTGAAGTTCCCGCTGACGTTGCTTCTTGGTGTCGAAATAAGTCGACATATATTCAGAAACAAAAGGCAAAATGTAGTCCCACCCACCCACCCTATCTCAATTCTGATGATTTTTTTTATTCGTCGTGAGTCAAGAGGGCGGAGCTTAACTGCAAAATCCTTTTTTCTCTACGCGAAATTAAAAACATGTTTTTGAGTATCGTGTCATTCAAATAATACTATGTACATTAATAAAACATTAAAGCCCCACCCAGACCTGTCCTGATCTAAATAATAATGAAGTTTTCATTCGTTGCCAGACCTAGGGGCGGAGCCTAATTGCAAAATCCATATTTCCGTACAAAAATTTACCATTTTAAACGCGTTTTAAGTTTCTAAGAATAAAAAAATCATGACAATTGAGATGGGGTGGGTGGGTGGGGTCCATATTTTATCTTTTTTTCTTAATATGCGTAGTATTCTTTGCATAATATGATACTCAAAAACATGTTTTTAATTTGTTGTAAAGAAAGAGGTATTTTACAGTTAAGCTCCGCCCTCTTGGTTCACGGCGAATAAAAAAAGTCATCAGAATTGAGATTGGGCGGGGCTATATTTTGCCTTTTTGTTTTAATATGTGCAGATTTCTTTTCACAACATGAAACTTGTTTCGAGAAATGTAAAATTGGAAAATTGAAAAATTTAAATACCGAAAAATTGAAAAAATCGAAAAATAAAAAAATTTAAAAACCGAAAATTTGAACAAACGAAAAGTCTAAAACTGAGCAGTCAAAAAATCGAAAACATCATAAAATTGAAAAATTGAAAGCCGAAGAGTCGAAAAACCAAAAAATCGAGAAGTTGAAAAATTGAGGAAACGAAAAATCCAAAATTTTACAAGTCGAATAAATTAAACTCAAAAATGTTAAATTTAAAAACTGAAAAATCAAAAAATTGAAAAATAAAAAAATAGAAAGTTCGAAAAATTAAAAAACTGATATATCGAGGAACTGAGAACTCGAGAAATAGAGACATCGAAACATAAAAAAAATCGAGGAATTAAAAATCGAAAAGTTTAAAACTGAAAAACCGAAAAGTAGAAAAAACGAAAAATTCCAAATTTGAAAAGTGGATAAATTGAAAAATTGATAATTCGGAAAATCGAAAAGCCGAAAAGTGAAAAAACGAGAAATCGAAAAATCGAAATATGAACATGTTTAAAATGGAAAATTTGTATAAGGAAACATCGATTTTGCGATTAGGCTCAGCCCCATAATTGCAAAATCCATATTTCCTTGCAAAAATGTAACATTTTAACTATGTTCTAAGCTTCTTGTTGTAAAAAGATGGCTATGAATATTAAGAAAAAAAATATTATAAACCCCACCCACCCGCCCTGTCTCAATTCTGATGATTTTTTTTCATTCGTCGCAAGCCGAGGGGCGGAGCTTAATTGCAATATCCTTAGTTTTCTACGAGAAATTACCGTGTGAAATATGTTCTTAAGTAATCGTGTTATACAAAAAAACTAAATGTATTATTTAAAAAAGAAAACCAAAAAAGAAGCCCCACCCATCCGCCTCGTTCTCAAATCGTGATGAATTTTTCAATCGTTGTCAGACCGAGGGGCGGGGCGTAATAGCAAAATCGATGTTTCCCTATATAAATTTACCATTTTAAACATGGTTTAAGTTTCTTGTTGTGAAAAGAAAGTCTACACATATTAAAACAAAGAGGCAAAATGTAATTAATTTTCTCGTGGAAGAATAAGGATTTTGCAGTTAAGCCCCGCCTTCTTGGCTCACGATGAATAAAAAAAATCATCACAATTGAGATAGGGTGGGTGGGCGGGGCTACATTATGCTTTTTTTTTCTTAACATGTGTAGTCATCTTTTCACGACAAGAAACTTAAAACATGTTTAAAATGGTAAATTTGTAAAGGGAAATATCGATTTTGCAATTAGGCTCCGCCCCTCGGTCTGAGAACGAATGAAAAATTCGTCACAATCAAGCTTGGGATGGATATGGGTGGCGCTTAATTTTTGGCTTGTTTTTTTCTTAATATACATAGTATTCTTTGAACAGCACGAGACTCAAAATAGTATATTATTAGCCAAGGTTGCAGAGCCAAGCATTCTAGACCGAGCACAAATTAGAACCCGAGACGCGCAGCGTCGAGGGCTCTAAGTGCGAGGTCTAGAAGTGGCTTTGCAACCGTGGTTAATATACTATTTTTTTCACTAGTAGAAACCATAAGACAATAAACTGAAAAATAAACGTTCCATTTTTTGACACAACATGATTTTGTTTTGATTTCTAATCAAACTTAATCTAAATCTTCAACACAAAGAAAACCGTTTATATTTGTCGCTGAGTTAATCATTTTATCTTGTACCATCTACCAACTACCATGCGTTTACTCAAGTAATGTTTGTAGCACACATTTGTTCATTTTTTAAGAAATAATCACATCAAACATTGCGTACATAACCTCAATTTTTCTTTTTGAACCGGTGGTAGCAAAAGTTGAATTTGCTACCACTAAATGAGTCGACATTTGCATGCGTCCAGGCTGCTAGTGAAAAAACATGTTTTTTTATTTCTTGTAGAGAAATAAGGATTTTGCAATTATGCTCCACCCTCTTGGCTTACGACAAATAAAAATATCATCACAATTGAGATAGGGTGGGTGGGTGGGGCTACATTTTGCCTTTTTTTTTTTTTTCTTAATATGTGTAGACTTATTTCGACAACAAGAAACTTAAAACATGGTTAAAATGGTAAATTTTTGCAATTTAAACATGTTTTAAGTTTCATGTTGTGAAGAGTCTACACATACTAAAACAAAGAGGCAAAATGTAAGCCCGCCCACCCACCCTATCTCAGTTGTAATGATTTTTTTTATTCGACGTAAATCAAGGGGACGGAGCTTAACTGCAAAATATTTATTTTTTATAAGAAATTAAAAACATGTTTTTGAGTATCGTGTTATTAAAAAAAAACTATGTATATAAAAAAAAAAAGACAAAATACAAGCCCCGCCCACCCACCCCATCTCAATTGTGATGATTTTTTTTATTCTTAGAAACTCGAAACACATTTAAAATGGTAAATTTTTGTCAGGATTTTGCAATTAGGCTCCGCCCTCTTGGCTCACGACGAATAAAAAAATCATCACAATTGAGATAGGGTGGGTGGGCGGGGCTTATATTTTGCCTTTCTTCTTAATATACGTAGTCGTCTTTTCAGAACAAGAAACTTAAAACATGTTTAAAATGGTAAATTCTTGTAGACGAATATGGATCTTGCAATTAAGCCCCGCCCCTCGATCTGACAACGAATGAAAAATTCATCACAATTGAGAATTGAGATGGGGCGGGTTATGGGTGGGGCCTCATCTTTGGCTTTATTTTTTTCTTAATATACATTAATACATAGTATTCTTTGAAGAACACGATACTCAAAAACATGTTTTTAATTTGTTCTAAAGAAATAGGTATTTTGCAGTTAAGCTGGTTCAGGACGAATAAAAAAAGTCATCACAATTGAGATTGGGCGGGTGGGCGGGGCTACGTTTTGCCTTTTTGTTTTAATATGTGCTGAGTTCTTTTCACAACATGAGAAATGTAAGACTGGAAATTTGAAAAATTGAAAAAATCGAAAAATAAAAAATTTTAAAAACCGAAAATTTGAACAACCGAAAAGTCTAAAGCTGAGAATTCGAAAAATCGAAACATCAAAAAATTGAAAAATAGAAAAATTGAAAGCCGAAGAGTCGAAAAATCAAAAAACCGAGAAGTTGAAAAATTGAGGAAACGAAAAATCCAAAATTTTACAAGTCGAATAAATTAAAGGCAAAAATGTTAATTTTAAAAACTGAAAAATCAAAAAATTGAAAAATAAAAAAATAGAAAATTCGAAAAATTAAAAAATTGATATATCGAAGAACTGGAACTCGAGAAATTGAGACATCGAGACATAAAAAAAATCGAGGAATTAAAAATCTAAAAGTTTAAAATTGAAAAACCGAAAAGTAGAAAAAACGAAAAATTCCAAATTTGAAAAGTGGATAAATTGAAAAATTTAATCAAACTAAAAAATCGAGAAATTAAAAAATTCCAAAATTGAAATGAAAATTTGGGAAATCGGATATTTGATAAATTGGAACATCTAAAAATTGATAATTCGGAAAATCGGAAAGCCGAAAAGTGAAAAAATTAGAAAAAACGACAAATCGAAACATGGACATGTTTAAAATGGAAAATTTGTATAACGAAATATCGATTTTGCAGTTAGGCTCCGCCCCATAATTGCATATGTTCTAAGCTTCTTGTAAAAAGATGGCTATGTATATTAAGAAAAAATATATATATAGAAGGCCCGCCCACCCGCCCTATCTCAATTCTGATGATTTTTTTTATTCGTCGTGAGTCAAGAGGGCGGAGCTTAACTGCAAAATCCTTTTTTCTCTACGCGAAATTAAAAACATGTTTTTGAGTATCGTGTTGTTCAAAGAATACTAGGTATATTAAGAAAACGTTAAAGCCAAAGATTAAGCCCCCTGATCTAAATAATAATGAAGTTTTCATTCGTTGCCAGAACTAGGGGCGGAGCCTAATTGCAAAATCCATATTTCCGTACAAAAATTTACCACTTTAAAGGTGTTTTAAGTTCTAAGAATAAAAAAATCATCACAATTGAGATGGGGTGGGTGGGCGGGGTTTATATTTTGCCATTTTTCTTGAATATACATAGTATTCTTCGAATGACACGATACTCAAAAACATGTTTTTAATTTGTTGTAAAGAAATAGGTATTTTGCAGTTAAGCTCCGCCCTCTTGGTTCAGGACGAATAAAAAAGTCATCACAATTGAGATTGGGTGGGCGGGCGGGGCTACGTTTTGCCTTTTTGTTTCAATATGTGCTGACTTCTTTTCACAACATGAAACTTGTTTCGAGAAATACAAAACTGACAATTCGAAAAATCGAAACTTCAAAAAATTGAAAAATAGAAAAATTGAAAGCCGAAGAGTCGAAAAATCAATAAACCGTGAAGTTGAAAAATTGGGGAAACTAAAAATCCAAAATTTTACAAGTCGAATAAATTAAACTCAAAAATGTTAAATTTAAAAACTGAAAAAGAATGAAAAAACTGGAAAGGTCGAAAAATCGAAAATTTGAAAAATCAAAAAACTGAAATATCGAAAAATTGAAAAATTAAATAATGGATTAACTGAAAAATCCTGAAACTAAAATATGTATCGAAAATCAAAAACTAAAAAATAGAAAAAAAAAATTGAAGATCGAGAAATCGAAAATTTGAAAAATATAAAGCCTGAAAAATCGAAAAATTAAAAAATTGAAGAATTGAAAAACTGAAAAATCGACAAATCGAGACGTTGAGCAATCGAAACACCGAATATTCGAGAAATCGAGAAATGGGAATATCAAAAAAAGGAAAAATCAAAAAGTCGAAAAGTCAATTAATAAATATCGGAAATTGAAAAATTGAAGAATCATATCCCCGAAAAATCCTAAAACTGAAAAGTCGGAATTTGAAAAATCGGGAAATCGAAAAACACTTGGACAATTTTGATTTTTTTCCAAAATCTCCATGCCTAGGATAAAAATTCAACACGAAAAATTGTATGAATTTCTGAACATCAAAGCAATTTTGCAATTTTAAAATTAAATTGTAATATGTTATTACACATTTTTTTTACAAAAATCTGGTTGGCTAGAGTAAAAACCCAACTGATAAATTACATGAAGGAGTATGTTATTTTATAAAATTTAATACTTCTAACAGTTAGTATTGTAATAATTTTTCTTCAATTTCGCGTTTTTTCTTTAATTTGGGATTTCTCGCGATTTTATTTATCGATTTCTCCATTTTCCGATATTTCTTTAATTTTTCGACTTTTTGATTTCTCGAATTTTCGGTGTTTTCAGGTTTTATATTTTCAAATTTTCGATTTCTCAAACTTTCAGTTTCTGGATTCTTCAATTTTTTTTCAATTTTTCAGGTTTTAGATTTTTCGACACAAAAATTGATATATCGAAGAACTCGAGAAATCGAGACACCGAAACATTAAAAAAATCGAGGAATTAAAAATCTAAAAGTTTAAAATTGAAAAACCGAAAAATTCCAAATTTGAAAAGTGGATAAATTGAAAAATTGAATAAAAAATCTAAAAAATCGAGAAATTAAAAAATTCCAAAATTGAATTGAAAATTTGGGAAATCGAATAATTGATAAATCGGAACATCGAAAAATTGATAATTCGGAAAATCGGAAAGCCGAAAAATTAGAAAAAACGAGAAATCGAAACATGAACATGTTTAAAACGGAAAATTTGTATAAGGAAACATCGATTTTGCAATTAGGCTCCGCCCCATAATTGCAAAATCTACATTTCCTTGCAAAAATGTAACATGTTAACTATGTTCTAAGCTTCTTGTAAAAAGATGGCTATGTATATTAAGAAAAAATATATAAATAAGCCCCACCCACCCGCCCTGTCTCAATTCTGATTATTTTTTATTTATTCGTCGTATGCCGAGGGGCGGAGCTTAATTGCAAAATCCTTAGTTTTCTACGAGAAATTACTGTGTGAAATATATTTTTAAGTAATCTTGTTATACAAAGTAAACTCCTGGATGTATTAATTAAAAAAGAAAACCAAAAAAGAAGCCCCACCCATACCCGCCCCCATCTCGATCGTGATGAATTTTTCAATCGTTGTCAGATCGAGGGGCGGGGCGTAATTGCAAAATCGATGTTTCCTTATATAAATTTACCATTTTAAATATGGTTTGTTTCTTGTTATGAAAAAGTCTACACATATTAAAACAAAGAGCCAAAATGTAGCCCCACCCACCCACCCTATCTCAATTCTGATGATTTTTTTTATTCGTCGTGAGTCAAGAGGGCGGAGCTTAACTGCCAAATCGTTATTTCTGTACAAGAAATTAAAAACATGTTTTTGAGTATCGTGTCATTCGAAGAATACTATGTATATTAAGGAAACATTAAAACCGCACCCATTCCTGCCCTGATCTAAATAATAATGAAGTTTTCATTCGTTGCCAGACCTAGGGGCGGAGCCTAATTGCAAAATCCATATTTCCGTACAAAAATTTACCATTTTAAACGTGTTTTAAGTTTCTAAGAATACAAAAATCATTACAATTGAGATGGGGTGGGTGGGCGGGGTTTATATTTTGCCATTTTTCCTGAATATACATAGTATTCTTTGAACAACACGATACTCAAAAACATGTTTTTAATTTGTTGTAAAGAAATAGGTATTTTGCAGTTAAGCTCCGCCCTTTGGTTCACGGCGAATAAAAAAAAGTCATCACAATTAAGAGTGGGCGGGTGGGCGGGGCTACGTTTTGCCTTTTTGTTTCAATGTGTTGACTTCTTTTCACAACATGAAACTTGTTTCGAGAAATATAAAACTGAGAATTCGAAAAATCGAAACATCAAAAAATTGAAAAACAGAAAAATTGAAAGCCGAAGAGTCGAAAAATAAATAAACCGTGAAGTTGAAAAATTGAGGAAACGAAAAATCCAAAATTTTACAAGTCGAATAAATTAAACTCAGAAATGTTAAATTTAAAAACTGAAAAATTAAATACTATTGAAATATAAAAAAATAGAAAATTCGAAAAATTAAAAAATTGATATATCGAGGAACTGAGAACTCGAGAAATTGAGACATCGAAACATAAAAAAACCGAGGAATTAAAAATCTAAAACTTTAAAATTGAAAAACCGAAAAGTAGAAAAAACGAAAAATTCCAAATTTGAAAAGTGGATAAATTGAAAAATTGAAGAATCAAAAAACTAAAAAATGGAGAAATTAAAAAATTCCAAAATTGAAATGAAAATTCGGAAAATCGAAAAGCCGAAAAGTGAAAAAATTAGAAAAAACGAGGAATCGAAAAATCGAAACATGCACATGTTTAAAATGAAAAATTTGTATAAGGAAACATCGATTTTGCAATTAGGCTCCGCCCCATAATTGCAAAATCCATATTTTTTTTTATGTTCTAAACTTCTTGTTGTAAAAAGATGGCTATGTATATTAAGAAAAAATATACATGTATATAAGCCCCGCCCACCCGCCCTATCTCAATTCTGATATTTTTCTTTATTCGTCCTAAGCCGAGGGATGGAGCTTAATTGCAAAATTCTTAGTTTTCTACGAGAAATTACCGTGTGAAATATGTTCTTAAGTAATCGTGTTATACAAACAAAAATCCTAAATGTATTAATTAAAAAAGAAAACCAAAAGAGAAGCCCCACCCATCCGCCTCGTTCTCAATTCGTGATGAATTTTTCAGTGGTTGTCAGATCGAAGGGCGGGGCGTAATCGCAAAATCGATGTTTCCCTATATAAATTTACCATTTTAAACATGTATTAAAACAAAGAGGCAAAATGTAAGACCGCCCACCCGCCCTATCTCAATTCTAATGATTTTTTTTTATTCACCGTGAACCAAGAGGGCGGAGCTTAACTGCAAAATAATTATTTCTTGACAACAAATTAAGAATACGTTTTTAAGTATCGTGTTGTTAAAAAAATACTATGTACATTAAGAAAAAGAGACAAAATATAAACCCCGCCCGCCCACCCCATCTCAATTGTGATGATTTTTTTTATTCTTAGAAACTTGAAACACATTTAAAATGGTAAATTTTTGTCAGGAAATACGGATTTTGCAATTAGGCTCCGCCCCTTTGGCTCACGACGAATAAAAAAAATCATCAGAATTGCAATAGGGCGGGTGGGCGGGGCTTATATTTTGCCTTTTTTCTTAATATACGTAGTCGTCTTTTCAGAACAAGAAACTTAAAACATGTTTAAAATGTCTAGTAGACAAAAATGGATCCTGCAATTAAGCCCCGCCCCTAGATCTGGCAACGAATAAAAAATTCATCACAATAGAGATAGGGTGGGTGGGCGGGGCTCCATTTTTCCTTTTTTTTCTTAATATGTGTAGACTTATTTCGACAAGAAGAAACTTAAAACATATCTAAAATGGTAAAAAAAGTTACTATCAACGGCAACTTGGCAACGTCAGCGGGAACAGCCACTGCAAGTTTATAAATCCCACTTTCCAATCAAAATTCAGTTTCCGGCTAGCGTCAACAGCGTCGATCCTGACAAACTGGGCGCCTTAGTCAAGGAAGTGATCCCTCAGGACTCCTGTCTCATTTTTTGTGCTTCAAAGAAGAATTGCGAAAACGTGGCGTATTTGTTGTCCCGATTGGTGGATAAGTAAGGGGGCGGGGCTGGGCGTGGCTACTAGTAACAGCGACGGTTTCAGGAAGTTGCTGGACCACAAAAAAGAGGAAAAGGAGCAAATTAAGTACGCGTTGAGGGACGAAGGAGGGGCTTTGTGTAAAATATTTAGCGTGTCGATTCAGCTGGGTATTGCGTACCACCACTCAGGTATTGCGCCGGGGTTTGAGTACACAATGTAGTTCGTGGTTTCAGGTTTAACCAACGAGGAGCGCAAGGTTATAGAAGACGCCTTTCGAGCAGGAATCATTTCTGTTATTTGTTGCACTTCGACTTTAGCAGCGGGGGTGAATTTACCAGCTAAGAGGGTTATTTTGAGGCAGCCTTACGTCGGTAGGGACTTTATAAGTCTGTCGAAGTATAAACAAATGGTGGGACGGGCTGGCAGGGCCGGACTAGGCGAAACAGGAGACAGTATTTTAATTTGTAGTTGCACGGATTTGCCTAAAGTTAAAAAATTGCTGCAGTCACCTATGGACGAAGCGCTATCCAGCATGCACGAAAACACAGGAAGAGGGTTAAGACACCTACTTCTGAGTTGTATAAGTCTGGGGATTGCAACAACTAGAGCGGAGTTGCAAGCGGTCTCAAAATGCAGCTTGTTGAATATACAGAGTGAGCGTTTAAGTGTCAACTTGAAAAAGTTAACTGACAAAGTACTGAGCGATTTGTTTAAACTGGGTGCGCTACAAGAAGCGGATTTGTCGAAGTCGGAGAATCACATCAGTTGTGACGTCACAGTTAAAATGGACACCTCGGGGAATTCCAGTTTCTGTGACACTTTGGAGCAACTTACTACTAAAAAAAGAAAAATTGTTCTGAAAAGTGATAGTAAATTAGTTATAAGTAAGCTAGGTTGCGCGGCCATCAAAGGTGAGGTGTGGCAACATTGGTTTGTAACGTCAAGTGAACGTCATTTTTAGGGAATTTTGAGTTGTCAAGGGCACACTTACTGTACGACGATCTTTACGAAGCGCAGAAGAATCTCGTGTTACTAGATTGTCTACATTTGTTGTTTCTAGTCACCCCGTATGACCTCGCTGAACAAATTAAACCAAATAAGAACGACTACTACAATATCGTAATTTATTACGTTATTTTTGACTTTTTCACTGTTTTGTCGTTGTAGTATTGTAAACTTGGCCCGAACGAGCTTCACACTGCGCGAATTCTGGGTATAGACGACGCCGTAGCCATGAAACTATTGGCCAATCAACCAATCAAAGTAACTTAGTATGTTTTGTCATTGTAGTTACTTAACGCACTTACTTGTAGAACGTTTCTGAACGCATCTTAAACCGATTTTATTTAACTTTGATGTTGTACGACCTATGGAACGAAAAACCCGTGTTTGAGGTTTCCGAAAAATTCCAAATTAATCGAGGGATCGTGCAAAATCTAATCACCAGTGCTGCCACTTTTGCGTCCAACGTTGTACATTTTTGTGAGGAGTTGGAGGAGTTTTGGACTTTCGCTAGTCTTCTCAAAGGTATGAACCAAAGGTTGTCGCACTGTTGTGTCAGGGAGTTGCTGCCGTTGATGGAGTTACCGGCTGTCAAACAGAGTCGGGCGAGGCAGCTATTCAACGCCGGGTATAAAAGCATCCGGAGTATAGCGGCAGCAAGTGTGGAAAGTCTAGTGGAAAATATAGAGCACATGCCGAGGAGAGTCGCTAAACAAATGATCGCGGCTGCTAAGGTACACCGTTTTGCAAAAATTCAATTTATAACCGTGTGTTTGCAGATGTTGCTTCTGGAGAAAGTGGAAAACTTGAGGGAGGAAGCAGAGGATGTGCTCGACGGTGTCGAAAATCCGAAACCGTTCTTCAACCAGTCAGTATTATCTTAGTTTTTTTGTATTTTCGAATTTCGCAATAACTGTTTTTGATAGAATAAGTGTTACCGTTTTTTATACAAACAAGGATTTAAACTAAGCGTTGGCAGACGTTTCTTGTTTTTGATATTTGACTCCTTTTTGAAGTCCAGAAAGTAGAACAAGTCGTGGGACAGGTCTTTGAAAGTGTTTTTGAAGCGGAAGCGTTCCACGGCTTCGATAAATTGTTGCACGTCGTCGAACCGACTTTCGACTTCTGCGATTTTCAAAATCCCTCTGAAACAACGCAAGTTAAACTTTATTAAAAAGCGAACAACGAAATTTACCCGGGTTTTAAAACTCGGTTGGCTTCCAGGAGATATTCGTGCAAGTTTGTCCCCATCAAAGATAAACAAAACACGGCCACGTCGATACTTGAAGGTTGTAAAGGTACGTGTGCCATGTCACACGGTATGACGTCATTATTAGCAGCAACCAAATCAAAAGAGTGGACTTTTTGTACAACCGACTGCGCCAATTTCGCGTCGCCGCAACCGAAATCAGCAACGACGAATGTTTTAGGTCTGAAAAGTAGCGATAAGTTAGAATTCTAAAATATGTGACGTGTACACACAACTGCTGGATGTTTTTAATGATTTCGTCTAGTGGGTTGAGCGGCCATTTATTGACTTGTTGTCTGTACCCTTCGTGGTAGGCTGTAAATGCGTCCGGGTCGTCTTTAAACAATTTTTGCGCTTCTTTGCTGTCATTGGAATAAATCTGCTCATTGATGTATCTAAATCTGGCGGCTTGAAGTCGCTGCATCATTCTTTCTCGTAAAGACAGGTCCCTTGATTTCTGGTGTTTCTTTGTTTCAGGTGGAGTTTGTAATGTTTTCAAAAGTTTTTCATTTAATTCTTTATTTTTCCGTTGTTTTGGTGTAAGTGGTTTTTTATTAGTCTCATCTGTCGTTGTTTCTTCTTTTTGTTGTCGCTTTTTCTTTTTTCGTTTTTGCTTCTTGACACGTCCTGTGTGAGTATTTGACTCTTGTTTATTTTGTGTAGCGAAAATTGGTGTGTTCATTTTTGGTTCTACTCGTTTATCTTGGTGGACCTGAGGCTTTTTCTTTTTTCTTTTGATTTTCGTTTGATGCACCAAGCCCGAATTGTTATTTAGTATGTTTTTGATTTCATCTTTAATTTTGTCGTTCTTTTTAAACGCATTCTTCTTCTTTGGACTCTTTTTACTTATTTTTCCCTTCTTTATTTTCGTTTCTTTCTTTGAAGACTGAATTTTTGCCTGTAAAATATTGACATATTGCGTTACGCGAAATTTTTAGGGTCACGCTGTATATATTTTCTGTGATTTTAGGCACCGGCGTGTGTGCTACATAACCTCAAAACTTGACAAATTTTACGTCGATGTTTCACATTTCTTACCTTAAACAACTCTTTGCAGACAGAGTCGGCTTCATTATTTCGGTCAAACTTTGCCACTTGGAACATTGTACAAACAAAATTATAAATAATTTAAAAAGAATCGACCACACACGCGGTGTCTAAAGTCACTCAATTGTCAACTGTCAAATGCCACCAATCCCGGACAGCTAACCCCAAAATGGAATTACGTAAAGGGAAACTAAAAATGAATTAAAAACCGATGTTCCCATACCAGTTACTCAGTAAGAAAACCAAAAATCCATTAGAGAAAATTAAATACTGACGCTTAGTTTACCGTTCCAACTGTCCAGTGTTCGTCAATATGTTACGAATTTTGAGCACCACCGGCCGCAAGCCCCACCGTTGCCCCTTCTCCACATCGCTCATACTCTACAAAGGCCCCATGGCGGCAATCAACGAAAAAATCGACTCCGGCACCCTCTTCCGCGACGAGCTCCAGCTCAAAGTAGGTAACTCTCTTCAGCGAATCTTTGAGGAAACGAAAACCTATCGACCCCCAGAAAAGAACTTGTTAAGCAAACTTTTTTCTAGCCGCAAGAGAGCCCCAAAAGGTCTGTACATCTACGGAGCCGTGGGGGGCGGCAAAACCATGCTGATGGACCTATTCTACCAGACCTGTGATATTGAGAAAAAATCTCGAGTTCATTTCAACGAATTCATGGTGGACGTGCACCAGAAAATCCACGAAACGAAAAAGGAAGTGGTGAGGGATTTCTCGGATCGGGATTCCAAGCCGTTTGACCCGATCCCGCCGGTGGCGGAGCGCATCAGCGAGAAAGCCTGGATGATTTGTTTCGACGAGTTTCAAGTGACGGATATTGCCGACGCTATGATTTTGAAGCGGTTGTTTACGGAGTTGTTCAAGAACGGGATTATGATGGTGGCGACGAGTAATCGGCAGCCGGACGATTTGTACAAGAACGGGCTGCAGAGGTCGAATTTTGTTCCTTTTATTCAAGTCCTGAAGGATCATTGTGAGATTATCAGTCTGGAGTCGGGGATTGACTACAGATTGAAGGGGCAAAGCACCAAATCAAACTACTTCGTCAAGTCTGAACACAAGCTGGATCCGATTAAGCAGATTTTTAAGTTTCTGTGTTCAAAAGAGAACGACGTTGTGCGCAGTCGCACTTTTAATATCCAAGGCAGGGACGTGACCTTTAGGAGGGCTTGTGGGGGCGTGCTGGAGACTTCGTTCGAAGAGCTATGCGATCGGCCCGTCGGAGCTAACGATTATCTGCACTTGGCGCAGTTCTTTCACACTATTATCATTCGAGATGTGCCCCAAATGAGTTTGAAAATGAAGTCGCAAGCGAGGCGATTTATCACGTTGATTGATGCGTTTTACGACCACAGGACTAAAGTTATAATAACTGCTGATGTTGCCATTAGAGATCTTTTTTTGAGACAGATCCCCGACGATGTTATTAGCGACGAAAGCAGGATGTTGATGGACGATCTTAAAATCGGGAAGGAGGACGCCACTGCTAATATTTTCACAGGGGATGAGGAGATTTTTGCGTTCGATCGGACGCTGTCGCGATTGACGGAAATGCAAACTGATGATTATTGGAAGAAGGATGGCAAGAGGTGAACGAAATGAGCGTTGGTAGATGCACAGTATTCACATAATTGTTAAGTACTTAAAGTGTACACTCTATATATTTTATTTTGTTGTCTCTATTAATTGAAATTATTATTTTAAGTTATTTAAATAAACTGTCTTTTTTTTAGTAATGTTGCCTTTTTATTTCGTCTTTTTACCGAGCGTAAGCTAAAGAATTCAAAATTGTAAACAATTTTTCAAATTTTCGATTTCTCGATTTTTTTATTTTTGGTTGGTAACATAACAACTTTGACAGATCGAGCCAACTTCAAAACCAAGTTTGTTCAAAATGGTGTCTGTGTTGTGTTTGAGTTGGATTTTTTCATAGAAAAACCATGTTCAGGTAGGATTTTAGGTAAATTTACCACCTTTTATCGAATTTAAAAAACCCTACCACAAATTACGACCAATTTTCGAAAAAATTTTCGAAATTTTACTAAATACTTTTCTTGTAGATTTCGGGCCTCCGAAGTCACTTTCGACCTCATTTCTTCGATAACTTTAATCGTTTTTGCAGAATGTATTTACTTAAATTTCCAAAATTTCGTCGAAAATTGGTCGACATTTGTCCAGGGGAAAATTTCATTTTTGAAAAAGTTGTCTAAAAATTCTCAAAAAATTCAGGAATGTAGATCTCGACGTGCTGAGAGATAAAATAAATAAATTGTAGACAAATTTTTTGGAAAATATTAAGTGGGTGTTAAATAACCATATCAGACGTGAGAATTATATTTAAAAAGCCATATTACGGATGCTCCTCCCACTAGCATAGGCCCCACCTTGATAAGTCATTTCATTGGCCCGGAATTATATGTAAAAGCTAACGGCAAAGTCATTTTTCGAATAAAAATTAAAATTTTATTTAAAAAAATATAATCCTAAATTCTATTGACTGTCAACATAAAATCCAACTTCTGTGTCACCGCCAATAAAATGGGTCATCAAATCGGAGTAGGGGTGGGTGGGTGGGGCTAGTTTTTATTTTGTTTTAAATCTTAGATTCTACCGCTTGTCTGTTCACAATTCAATTTCTATTTCACAGTTAATAGTAAATAAGTGAGATGGACAAAGGAGGTGGGCGGAGCTAAGTTTATCTTTTCTACAGTCTTATCTTGGAAGCAAACAATAGCCCCGCCCACCCACCCAACTCTTGATTCTAGTGACCACCCTTAATATTCTTAATTGATGATTACGTTATTATCTTATTAGGATCTTCGCAAATTTGGTAAACCGTTGCTGAAAAAGTAGATGAATTGTAAATAAATTGTGTGGAAAATATTCCGTTCGTGTTAAATAAGCATATCAGACGTGAGAATTATATTTAAAAAGCAATATTACCAAGGCTCCTCCCACTAGTAGAAGCTCCACCTTATTAAATGATTTCATTGGTTTTTCAATTACAAATTAAAATTGTATTTAATTATAATGTAGACCTGGATTCTATTGTTTATTAATATAAAATCCAACTTCCGCTAATAAAATGGGTCATCAAAACGGAGTAGGGGTGGGTGGGTGGGGTTAGTTTTTACTTTGTTTTAAATCTTAGATTCTACCGCTTGTCCATTCAGAATTCAACTCCACGTTTACATTAAATAAAATATAAAGTCAGTGAAATAAAGGAAGGGAGTGGGCGGAGCTAAATTTACCTTTTTTCGCCAGAGTCTAAGAAAGCAATTGCCCCGCCCACCCACCCCACTCTTGATTCTAGTGACCACTTCCAATATTGTTAATTAATGACAACATTATTATCTTATTATAATTTTGGACACATCAGTTAAACCGTTATGAAGAAAACAGATAAATTTAAACAAATTTTGTGGCATTGTAATTAAGCGGTTGTTACATCAGCATGTCAGACGTGAGAATTATTTGTATTTAGAAAATAATATTTTCGATGCTCCTCCCCCTATCAGAAGCTCCTCATTAAACCATTTTCATTGGTTTAGAGAAGAAGGGAGGCGTTTACATGTGTACCTCATGATACGGCAGTCGTTTTTCCATTAAAAATTAAAATTTTATTTAATTATAATGTGGACGTGGATTCTATTATTTATTAACATAAAATCCAACTTCCGCTTCAGAGCCAATAAAATGGGTCATCAAAATAGAGTAGGGGTGGGTGGATGGGGCTAGTTTTTACTTTGTTTTAAATCGTAGATTCTATCGCTTATCAGTTCAGAATTCAATGTCTATTTTGCAGTTAATAAAATATTAAACAAGTGAGATTGAGAAAGGAGGTGGGCGGAGCTAAGTTTACCTTTTCTTATAAGGTAAGTTTACCCCGCCCACCCACCCCACTCTTGATTCTGGTGACCACCCTTAATATTATTAGTTAATGGCTGCGTTATTATCTTATTAGGATGTTCGGCAAATTTGGTAAACCGTTGCTGAAAAAGTAGATGAACTGTAAATAAATAGTGTGGAAAATATTCCGGACGTGTTAAATAATCATATCAGACGTGAGAATTATATTTAAAAAGCAATATTGCTCCTCCCACTAGCAGAAGCTCCACCTTAATAAATCATTTCATTGGTTCGAAGAAGAGGAGTATTGTTTACTCTTGTACCTCGGATGATACAGCAGTCGTTTCTCGAATAAAAATAAAATTTCATTGAAAAAAAAGTAGTTCTAGATTCTATATTTGTCCATATGAAATCCAAATTCTGTGTCAGAGTCAATAAAATAAGCCATTAAAACGGAGTAGGGGTGGGTGGGTGGGGCTAGTTTTTACTTTGTTTTAAAATCTTAGATTCTACCGCTTGTTTATTCAGAATTTAACTCCTATTTTACACTAAATAAAATATGAAGTCAGTGAAATAAAGGAAGGGATGGGCGGAGCTAAGTTTACCTTTTTTCTTCAGAGTCTAAGAAAGCAATTGCACCGCCCACCCACCCCACTCTTGATTCTAGTGACCAGTTCCAATATTGTTAATTAATGTCAACATTATTATCTTATTAGAACCTTGGACAAATCTGTTAAACCGTTGGGGAGAAAATAGATAAATTTAACCAAATTATCAGCATATCAGACGTGAGAATTATATGTATTTAGAAAATAATATTATCGAAGCTCCTCCTACTATTAGAAGCTCCTCCTCATTAAACCATTTCATTGGTGTAGAGAAGAGGGAAGGCGTTTACATTTGTACTTCATACGGCGGCGGGTGGGCGCTTTAGTACTTGGTAAGATAAGACTGACTTTGGCAAATAACATATCCTCTGAGAAAATAGGGGGTGGGTGGGCGGGGCTAGTACTTGGTAAGATAAAACTGATTTTGGCAAATGACATATCTTCTGAGAAAATAGGGGGCGGGTGGGCGGGGCTAGTACTTGGTAAGATAAGACTGACTATGGCAAATGACATATCCTCTGAGAAAATAGGGGGCGGGTGGGCGGGGCTAGTACTTGGTAAGATAAGACTGACTATGGCAAATGACATATCCTCTGAGAAAATAGGGGGTGGGTGGGCGGGGCTAGTACTTGGTAAGATAAGACTGATTTTGGCAAATGACATATCCTCTGAGAAAATAGGGGGCGGGTGGGCGGGGCTAGTACTTGGTAAGATAAGACTGACTATGGCAAATGACATATCCTCTGAGAAAATAGGGGGCGGGTGGGCGGGGCTAGTACTTGGTAAGATAAGACTGATTTTGGTAAATGACATATCCTCTGAGAAAATAGGGGGTGGGTGGGCGGGGCTAGTACTTGGTAAGATAAGACTGATTTTGGCAAATGACATATCCTCTGAGAAAATAGGGGGCGGGTGGGCGGGGCTAGTACTTGGTAAGATAAGACTGACTATGGCAAATGACATATCCTCTGAGAAAATAGGGGGCGGGTGGGCGGGGCTAGTACTTGGTAAGATAAGACTGATTTTGGTAAATGACATATCCTCTGAGAAAATAGGGGGTGGGTGGGCGGGGCTAGTACTTGGTAAGATAAGACTGATTTTGGCAAATGACATATCCTCTGAGAAAATAGGGGGTGGGTGGGCGGGGCTAGTACTTGGTAAGATAAGACTGATTTTCGCAAATGACATACGACGATTGAAGAAATGTAGAAAATTCTTCCCGAAAAGAAGACCATTCTAAGAAATTGAGATATTGTAGATGACCAATAAGGGACTTTCGATGGATTTCGAGTGCAAAAAAAAATCGAAACTGACTTTTGAGAAGAATTCTTATCTAATACAGGAAAAGTAATAGCTTTTGATCGAGATGATTGAAGAGAGGCAGAAAATTCTTCCCGAAAAGAAGATCATTCTAAGAAATTTAGATATTGTAGACGATCAAGATAGGGATTTTGGAGTAAAAGAAAATCTAAAGTGATATTCGAGGAGGATTCTAATCTAAAATGGGAAATGCAATAGATTTTGGGCGAAACGATTGAGGGGAGGCAGAAGATTCTTTCAGAAAAGGTCATTCTATGAAATTTCGATATTGTAGACGGTTGATATAGGGATTTTCTAGGTTTTAGAGCAAAACTAAACCTAAAAAAAATGTTTTAATCAAAATAGATTTGCTTATCCCCTCCAAAAAATTGATGACGTCATTTCAACATTTTGCCGGATAAATTCTATTTAAAATGTACAAAATATACGGCAAAGTCGTTTTTCAATTAAAAATTAAACTTTTATTCAATTATAATGCAGACCTGGATTCTATTATTTATTAATATAAAATCCAACTTCCGCTTCAGAGCTAATAAAATGGGTCATGAAAACGGACTAGGGGGTGGGTGGGTGGGGCTAGTTTTTACTTTGTTTTAAATTTTAGATTCTGCCGCTTGTCTGTTCACAATTCAATTTCTGTTTAAAATTTTTTAAAATTCTAAAAATTTCAATATTTTAACGGCCAGTTCTAGAAAAACGGTTGGAGTTATCAGAGAAACAAGGTCGGAAGTGAATTCTAGAGCTCGCAATCTACAAGAAAATGTGTACGTTTTTTTGAATTTTCAGTTTTTCGAATTCCGGATTTCTCGACGTCGGGGATGTAAGTGCGAGATCGGCTCTTAATAAAAAACAACCTTTAAAAAATTGAGAAAGTTTATTTGCAAAAAGTGTTACACTTCGTATCAATACAATTATCACATGTTCTCACATTAATATTTTTCTGCAAGGTCGCTAAATAACGATCATTATCACAGGACACATTTTTGAGATTGTTTTCTGAAAGCACAATTTACATTACACTAGTCTTACCCTATTCCTTGCAGAAAATTTCAAAAATAATCACAAAGTACAAATGCATAGGATCGTCCTACAAACTACTATTAAAACCCTACTCACATTCACAGGTAAGAGAGAAATGCAACCTTAACTTGTAATTTTGGTAAACAACGGTTTCTCGTGCAAACTATGATCAAAACCTTTGAGTGAAGTAAAATTAAATTTCACAACGTGATGGAAGGATCGTCAGTCTTGAAGCAGATGTAAAAATGAAATATCAGTCTCAATTTAAAGTTTTCAGAGTTAGGCTAACCAGATATGCAAACTATATGGAACACATTACTTAGTAAGTTTATCTTAAGTGTCTGTAACCGTTTCTGAAAATATCTACTTTATTATGTAATACTGAAACTTACGAACTCTAATTAAAAAACAGTGTTGCCACTCGTGACAACGCTCACAAGCACGCGCCATTTATCAAAAATCGAGTCATTACACTACTACAATGAGAATATTTTTTTAAAGCCAGTAAATGCGAAAGTGAGTCGTTCGTTAATCGGCTGATTGCACATGCGCGTTTGACACCGCTATCACGCAAGCTCCAGCTCTCCCGGTAATCAGAGGCGCTAAAGAACTCCACTCGTTCGTGTTCGGATCGTACTGTTCTACCATGCGTAAGTAGTGGCTGCCGTCGTAGCCGCCGATTGCCACTAGTCTGTCGCCGAATAAGCACGCCGCCACCGCATCCCGCTTACTTGATAGAGACGCAATCACCGTCCATGTATCCGTACCTATAATAAACTAATTGTTTAATTTATTGAGGAAATGACTGAACTTACTCGGATCGTAGCGCTCCACACAGTCGAATCGGCTCGCCGCTGGGTTGTTGGCGGGCGCGTCTTGTCCCCCCAGCGCATACAGGAACCCATTGGCTACCGCCACCCCCACGCCGCCTCTGCGCCTGGCCAGGGGGGCGCACATCGTCCATTTGTTAGTATGCGGGTCGTAGCACTCCACCGTGCGCAGACACGACGCCCCGTCGCGCCCCCCTACCGCATATAGCTTCCCTTTGAGGACGGCCACGCCCGCTGAGCAACGCTGGCTTTGCATTGGTGTGACGTAGCTCCACGACCGGGCCACGGGGTCCCACCTGCGTGACTCCGTTCATTGATTAAATACATATAGATAGACCCATGCTATTGTTTGGAGCGAACAGGCCAACGGCCGGCGAACAAGAGATGGCGCACCAACAGTCGGCCGTCAAACGCCGGCGAAAAGCTTGGACACCAATCGCGCGCGTAGATAACCCAAATCGCAGCAACAATACATTTAATAAAGCTACCACTCGACAGAGGGCGACGAAAACAATGTGTAAAAATCTCATAGTAACCATTTATATAATTTGCAACGTTGCCAGATGAGCCTAGCACAACTTTGCCGTTATTTCTAGTCGATTAGATTTTATTTCGTTTAAAAGTTTCTGGTGAATAAATGGAATTATTATAATGAATAAACAATACAAACAAATTATTACTTGTTATTTTAAATACTTGTTAGTGTTGATGAAAACATAAATGGTAATTAAAGTTATTCTAAATACGGTCCGGTCCGGTAGCTCAAATTTTACAGTACGAGTGATATGTTTCAGGACGAGTAGGTAGCCGAGTCTTTAATTTCGAAACGAGTACTGCGAAAAGAGTTACCGGACGTATGTTGTTATGTATTTTATTTCATACTGTCAACATACTTTTTTATTCGATAAAATTATTATTATTTTGAGAAAAAATCCAAATCGAGTCACTTTTTCTGACATCGTTAGCAACCGCTCTTTGGTAAATGTTTTAATTTGTTTATTCGTGCAAATCAGCATCATATGTTTAAACACATAGTACTTATAACACTTTACAGGACTTATTGTTTTGTATAATCCGACTCGATGGACGAATGTTTTGTGCAATCCGTCTCGAAGGACCAATGTTTGTGCAACTCGGCTCGTCCTACCAGTATTTTTTGTAATCTGGTTGATACGACAATGTGATACCGAATTGTACTTTGATATTGCTCCAAGGACCTTTGTTTTCTTGCGTGCGAGATAATAGACAGCGTTCGGTTTCGATGTTTAATACAGGACGGTTACAGAAGTACTAAATTTACATTTGTATTTACAATAACAGGTAAAGCAAAAGAGACCCAAAAGGGTCAGTGGCCGCTTCCGGAAATGGAAGACTTGTCCTTTTTGGCCACGGAGGTAGAAGAGTGTCTCTTCTACCTCCGTGTTTTTGGCTCAATTTTATCGGACTTGTCCGTTTTTTTGATTTTACCGGAATAGTTCGATCCAGTAAAACGTCAAACTTGACATAGTATGAAGTAAAATAAATAAATTTTATGATGTAAATACAATTAAGTGTATCGATAATAATTCGCTACTGAAAATTTATTGAAATATAATTTGTGTTAAAAAAAGATTTTTGTGGTTTTATGGTTTATTAAATGTAATTAAAATAAATAATATCAAGAACTTGTATTATATATCAAAAACATTCATTGTAAATAAGAAAATTATGTAAATAAACCATAAAACCATACAAAATTTTCCTGCGACCTCTATTCAAAATCCCAGTTTACCAATAGGAATTAAGGCACAAAGATGTTTCACTGAATTTATTACCGATTTTTCAAGAAAAGTATGCTTATAAGCCTATAAGCGTCTAATGGGTTAAAACAACAAATAATAATCACAATTTATTTGTTTTATATGTTCATTACAATAATCCCATTTATTTACCAGAAACTTCTAAATGAAATAATATCTGGTTGACGAGAAATATCCGCAAATTTGTGTTAGGCTCATCTGGCAACGTTTTCGGTAGGTAGGTATCAATGGAATAATGCGATTAGGTATACTGACCGTTTTAAGGAGTGCTCGTCCAATAGTGCGTAAACTAAAAGATTTGGTAATTTTCTTGGAAGAGTTTGTTTCTTCAATGAAAATTTATGGTTTTTAATTCTTCGGCCGCTTGAAAGTCTCGCCATGTGAAAATAGATTATTTGATAACCTGTTTCGTAATAATTGTAAATACGAACAAAAGCATATTTGCATATTCTAAACAACTGGCCATATCGATTCCAAACTTGTACAGATATGTTTTTTATTGTTTCTGTTTTCAATGAAATAAATTTTATTTGCAAAATACCTAATGTCTAACGACATATCACGCATACATACTACCCCATTTACTATATTTTCAATCTGTGCATTTTTCGCTTCATTCGTAGGAGCCAAGTAAGAAGTATCAGTGAGACCGGCGGACTTTCAATAGCTCGTAAATGAAAAGATTTAGTAAAGTTTCCTAGAACAGTCTGTCTCTTCATAAAAAAATTTAGACATTTTTACTATGAAATATAGGTACAATACGGTATATTCCACTGTTTGTTTTCTTTGAGATACGACTAGTTCTTGTGCCGAAGTGAAACACCAAAAAGTCTAAAGTCCGGAAATCAGAGTGAATTTTAAAACACATAAAACGACTTCTTTATTTATTTAAATATTGTCCTGTAACGTCCTGTGACGTGGAATGGAGTTTCTTAATGTACAAAAGTATGTTAGATAATAACCGAAAAATTTTCTTGACTAAAACTAAAGGAAACACAATTATTACTTGGAATAAAAATAAAGAATATCAAGAACTTGTGCTATGTATTAAAAATATTTAATTTCAAATAAGTAAATTATGTTAATAAACCATAAAACCACAAAAATCTTTTTTTAACACAAATTATATTTCAATAAATTTTCAGTAGCGAATTATCGATATACTTAATTGTATTTACATCATAATAGTTATTTATTATACAAGCGGTTAAAGTGAATGTTTAATGAGCGGCCAGTTTAAGGCGAGAGCGGCGTATGCCGCGAGCGCCTTAAGACCACGAGTTACACATTCATTTTAACCGCGAGTGTAATACAAACTTTTATTCAATTTTGACAACCCCAAGTCCCAAATTGTGAAAAAATTGGTGATTCAAAGTTCACATTCGAGAAACGTCAGAATTGACAGCGACCAAATAAAAGTTTTATATGCGTAGAATTTAGGTTACAATATCAGGTGTGTGTGTGTAGTATGTGACTCTGGCGACGGTGTTTGTTTATTTTAAGCAAACTAAAATTATCGAAAAATTGCAAAATCATGCAAGATTCCAACGGCAAAACTTGCTCCCAAAAAAGAGCAAATCAGAAAGTGTATCAAAAGTTCCTTAGATGGAAAGAGCAGCAAGGTATTGGAGAAATTACAGAAATGGTAACCATGGTTTTAAAACAGCAAAATAAAAATTTTATTTCGCTAGCGGTTTAAAAATTTTATGGTGCTACCGGATAAACCAAAGCTTTAGTGGCCTACTGACGGCAAAATAAACGTTTGTTTACATGTCAAAATTGAATAAAATTTATTTATTTTACTTTATACTATGTCAAGTTTGACGTTTTACTGGATCGAACGATTCCGGTAAAATCAAAAAAACGGACAAGTCCGATAAAATTGAGCCAAAAAGGACAAGTGTTCCATTTCCGGAAGCGGCCACTGACACTTTTGGGTCTCTTTTGCTTTACCTGTTATTGTAAATACAAATGTAAATTTAGTATTTCTGTAACCGTCCTGTATTAAACATCGAAACCGAACGCTGTCTATTATCTCGCACGCAAGAAAACAAAGGTCCTTGGAGCAATATCAAAGTACAATTCGGTATCACATTGTCGTATCAACCAGATTACAAAAAATACTGGTAGGACGAGCCGAGTTGCACAAACATTGGTCCTTCGAGACGGATTGCACAAAACATTCGTCCATCGAGTCGGATTATACAAAACAATAAGTCCTGTAAAGTGTTATAAGTACTATGTGTTTAAACATATGATGCTGATTTGCACGAATAAACAAATTAAAACATTTACCAAAGAGCGGTTGCTAACGATGTCAGAAAAAGTGACTCGATTTGGATTTTTTCTCAAAATAATAATAATTTTATCGAATAAAAAAGTATGTTGACAGTATGAAATAAAATACATAACAACATACGTCCGGTAACTCTTTTCGCAGTACTCGTTTCGAAATTAAAGACTCGGCTACCTACTCGTCCTGAAACATATCACTCGTACTCTAAAATTTGAGCTACCGGACCGGACCGTATTTAGAATAACTTTAATTACCATTTATGTTTTCATCAACACTAACAAGTATTTAAAATAACAAGTAATAATTTGTTTGTATTGTTTATTCATTATAATAATTCCATTTATTCACCAGAAACTTTTAAACGAAATAAAATCTAATCGACTAGAAATAACGGCAAAGTTGTGCTAGGCTCATCTGGCAACGTTGCAAATTATATAAATGGTTACTATGAGATTTTTACACATTTTTTTCGTCGCCCTCTGTCGAGTGGTAGCTTTATTAAATGTATTGTTGCTGCGATTTGGGTTATCTACGCGCGCGATTGGTGTCCAAGCTTTTCGCCGGCGTTTGACGGCCGACTGTTGGTGCGCCATCTCTTGTTCGCTCCAAACAATAGCATGGGTCTATCTATATGTATTTAATCAATGCTCCGTTACAACTATCCGCTCGCTCCGCCTACTTACCGCTCGACGTTGTTGAGGTAGCTCCACCCATCGTGACCGCCCACTGCGTATAGCGTGCCGCCTAGTACGGCTACGCCTAACCCGTGCCTGTGGGTGTTCATGGGTGATAACTGCGTCCAGGTACCGGTTTCCATATCCAGACATTCCATGGTGTTGAGGGTTTTAAGCCCGTCGCGCCCGCCTACCACTAGTAATCTGAAACAAAACGGGTGAGTGTGGGTGAGGGGTGGGGATAGAGCTTACTTGTCTCCCAGGAGGGCGATCCCGAACTGGAGACGCCGCCCGCTCATGTGGTGAGCCACAGTCCAGGCGTCAGACCGCGGGTCGTAGCTCTCAATTGTAGTGGCGCCTTTGTTCTTGTCCATGCCGCCGACGACCAGCAGCCGCCCGAGGGTGGCTTTACGGGGGCGGGTTCTAGTGCTCGCCATTTGGAGGTGGCGATCCGGGAGCAGATGCCACTTGAAAGCTTCCATTATGAGTTTTTGGCAGGCGGGGTCGCACCCCACCACCGGCTCCACTTGGTCGGTTAGGAATTCGGGAGTGAGGAGGGGGAGTTTGACGAAGGCGAGGAGACGCCCGACCAGAGGTTTACGGGTGGTGGGGTCGTGCTGGATCCAACTCATGAGGGCGTGGAATATGTGCTCCTCAGAAGTGACGTTAAGATCATCATTTGATAGGAGACTCGTCATCTGGTCGACGGTTAATTGGAGAAACTCTTGATTCCGTATCACTTGCATGAAATTTTGGCTAGTGTAAGCGTTGGCTTCTTGCAGAAGACTAGTACAAGCTTGGTGTTCGGCGAAGACCGCTATCCCTAGACAGTTACTGGGGTGCAGTTGGTGAGCTAAGAACCGGGAACAGGCTTCAACAACTTCGTGCAGTTGCATCAAACAAGCCGTGGCCAGAAGAGTCTCCACGTTGTCTTCGCGGATGTCGATGGCCCCCGTGTAACAATAATTTACGACTGCCTGGAGAACGTCGCCACTAACATCACCCAGAGTCACTTCAGATTCGCCCGACTCGCGTAAACTCCCAGTGAACATAGCGGCGAAGTACTCACTAGCAGCTGATAGCACAAGCCTGAAATTATCAACTTGTTTGTAACTAAAAATAAAAATAAAAACGTCTGATAACCGGTGTACCTATGAGCCTGCACTTTTTTTCCATTACTGCCGGCGATAAGCGTGACGTCACACAATTTCCCGGCTTGTAGATAATTCTGCATACAAGAAAGACTGTGCTCTGCATGGCCTTCACACCGAAATTGTTCGTCTTGCGAGGTGGCCGAGCCCGACGAAAACAAAGACAAGCGGCTGAAATCTCTGGGTAAGTTCTCGCTTTCGACTAAACTTCCGCTAGTCGAAACCGTGTCTTTGGAGGGGCTTCCCAAATTTCCCACCACTGACATCACTGGAATTTTTTCTGCGTCTCTAAAAACTGACGGAGATAATAGTGACCAGTCACGAGTGACCACAATAACTTACACAGAATGGAAAATCGTGCACAGCGTAAACAATAAATAACTCAACGGACAGTCATCGAAACCAACAATCACAAGTTTTGACAAGTCGGTGTTGTTGACATTTGACGGAGTGACGTATGGCGGGCATTGACATTTGAGAAAGTCACCAGAAATTTGCGTTTTCGGCAAATACGGGCTAAGTGAGTGGTTTGAGTTATTTCAAAGAACGTAAAAGTGACGACGGTCGCAGTGAATAAAATTACAACAAGTCGAGATCGTCGCAATTCGCATTTTAAGTTAGTAACTTCCCGCTTAAATTTTTCACCGTTGGCACCCCTGTTACCTGTTTGTTGTAATGCAGCGTTGCACTTGTCAGAAATGAGTCAGATTTATAAATGCGTTTTTTGAGGAAAACGAGATAACAAGCTTGTAAATTGCTTCACGCTCTTCAGGAATTCACGTTTTACGATATTTACCACCCCCGAAAATGGTTGAAACGTTGTCGGTGTCGCTCCAAGGTCCAGCGTTTTCCTTCCTGTTGTACGAAAATCTGAAGAGCAAATTCTCTCAGGTAGGTTGCGACACGTCCAGATTACATCATTGAAGACGCTTTTACAGGAGGGTTTTCTCTTAGGCGAGTTTGTCGAGAAAGAAACTAAAACCATCACCGACAACGACCAGCAACAAATCAACATCGCGCGAACAATCCGAATCAAGTGTGCAGTGCCATGCCCCCAGTTCTTCCGCTTTTACGACGGCGTTGGTCGAATCAACGTGGAGAAAATCCGCACCTTTTTGGGTGACCTAGCGCCGAAAGTAGTGGCGTGGTATAAGTACAAACCATCCTCGAGTTTCAATATCACGTTCCGCGAGAAAATCATCCACAGGCAGTTGGCGGAATTGTTCAATTTACCACCAGAGTTCTTCAGTTGTTGTCTTCTGATAAGTGAGAGTTCGGACAACAATTCCACCCATTCTTTCACCCAAACTTTCATGAGGTATTGTAACCTCAAGTATGAACAGTTACCACTACATATAATAAACCTAAGTGACGAAAGCAAAACGTACAAAACTCCAGAGCAGACTTCAGAGACGTTCAGGGACATCGTGAGCGCGCTCAAACTCAATTACAAAAAATCTCAGGGGATCAACGTCATCACAAAGATACAAAATGCCTTACAGAAGCACACAGAGCAGGTCGTGGACGAGCTGGCCGAAGTGGAGGCGCGGTTGTTTCAGCTGGAGAACGAAGTGAGGCATAGGAAGGAAGCGGCGAAGAAGGACCTCAGTGCCTCGAACGAGAACCAGTTGAACGATGTGGCGATGGACACGGATTCGGAGATGAGTCCGGTCACCACCCCTGTGAAAAACAGCGGGAAAGGGAAGACGAACTCCGTTAACAGGACACCAAAGAGAAACAGTCAAAGTCCGGCGAAGAAGACGAGTCCCGGCGGACGCGAAATCCTCACCAGATCAAAGAAAAAAGTCTAAAGTTCAAATATAAATAGTTTATATTAATCGTAAATGCCTTGGTGTATTATAAGTAATGAAATTTGTTTTTGTATTGTTATAAATGCATGGTTTTTTTAGTTGGTGAATTTAGCTTCAGTGGCCATTTTTTACTAACAATAAATTCACAACATTTTTCGTGAAGAACGTTTTATTAATAAGTTTATAACAGATCGATAGGGTGGGCTTTGAGTCCTCTCAGTTCCCAAATCGTGGCCGCTAATCTTCGTGTATGTTCTAAGACGCAGGAGGCAGTGACTAATCCTAAATGTACACAGAATAATTCATAACACCGGATTTTGTTTGATGGCATTTTTGGAAAACAGACTTCTTTTAGTCTCCTGAAAGTATTGATTAAAATTTGTGTGAAAACAATGTTTTACTTACTGGTAGAAATCGCTACCCAAGAGGCTTGGTAAAGGAAGAGCTTTTGTGGAGTTTGTTGGATAAACTAGAGGTTTCATGGGGGTACCGCTGGTGTCTTCAAACCACAAAAAGTAGGCGTAGTTGAAAATCGTGTCCTTCCACATGAGCGACAAATTACCTTCTTGTAGGTGGTTCCGCGAAAATTTAATCATCGCCCAAATCTTCAACACAGTTACACATATATTTGACTTTGTTTTTCTAGTTATGTACTTACTTTGTTTTTAGTGAGTTTGTTAGTTTCGTCTGCACTGAAGTCCAAAGTGGGGGCTGTCACCCTATGACTGACGCGATCCACATACAAAAAATGAACCAACCCAGGAAACTCCTCCAAGTACTTATTAATAGTTAGGGAATCTCTAGTGCAACGCGATTAAGGACTATGTCAAACATTAAGTCATATCAAAACAACAGCAACAAAAAGGATATGATCCAAGCGTGAAATTCCTAATTGACTTGACTTTCAAAAACTCATTGTAAGTGTTCAGCTTATCAGACACCATTTTCGCAACCTCGAGTGTCTGTTTTTGCGACAAAGAAATAATCTTCTCATCAATGGAAGTCAGACTTAGCAGCTGCTTCAAATTCTCCAGGAACCCCAACGCCAACGTTTCTGCCCTCAAGAGCGCCTCATCAGAGTTGGTTTTAATAAAATCTAGATATTTCCTCCTAATAATATCCCATTTCTTGATTAGCTGCTTAGCGCAGTTCTCGCTCGCGCCGCTTTTATTTCTCTTGAGGGCGTCGTTCAGTCTTTTCATCGCTAAATCTAAATTCTCGAAAGCGGGTCTTAAAGTTTCTACATTTCGTTGGATTTGGACGAACTGCATGGCGTGCAAATGGTGGAAAACTTCGTATAAACCGGAGGAAATTGCGACGTTTCCGACTTCTAAAAGGTATAAAAGGTTGATGCCTTCGCAGATTGGAATGATATGGACGACGTGGGATAAACACGAGGGGGTTTGATCAGAGCCTGCTAGCAGGATTTGGAGACTGTCTAGGGGGTTTTCGGACTCGGCAAACTTTGGGCTGCTACTGTGAGACAGGATAGTGGAGAAAAGAATGTCAGAAGCTGACAATTCTTTGGCGTTTTGACTAAAAAAAAATACGTAGAGTGGTGTTTAGGTTGGTATAGAATTACCTAGAGAATAAAGACAGGAACTTGTTATTTACAAGCACCATTGCATGTATTTTTGAACAGTCGGTCATTGTTACTAATTTATCCACTGATTTGCGCAGAATTTGAAGAGTGACGGAACTAACGTCTGAATTGACAACTAGTTGCTCCACAGCCTCGACAAACACAGCTTGATCATTACTCTGCAAATACACCCAACTGTCTATCAATCTTGTCGCTAGAGAATTCTTCTCTTTGGATCTAAGCCTGGATTTTGATTAGTTTTTACCGAGCGAAAAATACATACTTACTGACACACATCTGGTCCACATAAATACCGCACTGTTGTTATACAAATACTAAGGAATTTTTTTATACTGGGAATATCTTCTCTTGCTACACTTACAAACAAGTACCCCATATACTACAACGAAAATTTAGACTACTATTTCCGCGTTAATTCCACTTACTTCATCGAAACACATGTTCAAACCATCGTCACACTGTATGGATGTGTACGAATTCCCGAATTGGCAACTCATGATCCTCTGGGAGGTGATTATGGGGGAAAATATCTGAACGAGTGCATTATCATCGATGGATGACTTATCCGCATTCTACAATTATTGCCTATTTTAACGTACTTTACTAATTTTTACGTACTTCTGGGGCGTTTGTGAAACCTTGTAAAGACGCAAATTCGCAGACGTGCTCCGAAAATTCTTTATCGTAGTTTGTGTAAACTACATCATTGAGGTGATCAAACACTAATAAACACTTCATTCTAAGTAAATTTGTAATGTTTGTTATCAAACAATAGTCTATTACACAAATACAGACGGATTTACATAATTACCGGAGTTTTTTGTTTTGACGTATGGATGACGGATGACAGCGGAGTGACAGATGGTGTAGGCAACCCAAAATACACGACGACACTAGAGGGTTTTGGAAAAAATACTGCTCTGAAAAATTATAAAATTTGATTTAGTGGAATTTTATTCTTCGTGATAACAATGTAGAAGGTACTAGTCACAGTGTAATAGAAAAAAAGAAGGTTTCGCCTTCTTAAAAAAAGACACTTGGGGCCCCCGAGAAGGTTTCACATTCTACAAAAAAAATATGTTTGGAGCCCCCGAGAAAGTTTTACATTGTTAAAAAAGACGATTGGGAGCCTCCCGAGAAGGTTTTACATTCTTAAAAAAATACATTTGGGGCCCCCGAGAAGGTTTTACATTGTTAAAAGAGATTGTTGGGACCCCCGAGAAGGTTTTATGTTTTTAAAAAAGACAATTGGGGCACTCGAGAAGGTTTTACATATTCTAAAAAAAAACATTTGGCGCCCCCGAGAAGGTCTTATTTTTATAAAAAAGACAACTTGGACACCCGAGAAGGTTTCACATTCTTAAAAAAAATACATTTGGGGCCCCCAAGAAGGTTTTACATTGAACAAAATATTCTGAATGTTATTATTATAATTCTTACCTTATCATTATTTTATTGCAATAAAGACGAGCGTATTTTCACATTTTCCAGAAAATTTTTCATTTTTTAATTGAATGATAAAATATGAAGGATGAAGGATTAATGATGCAAGATTAACGCTGAAATACGAAGGATAAAGGATTAAGGACGAAGGACAAAGGACGAAGGACAGAGAACGAAGTACAATGGACGATGGACAAAAGTCGAAGGACAAAGGACGAACGATAAAATATGAAGGATGAAGGAAGAAGGATTAATGATGAAAGACGAAGGATGGAGGACGAAGGACAAACGACGAAGGGCAAAGGACGAAGAACATAGAATAAAGTACAAAGGACGAAGGACGAAGGCTAAAGGACGGAGGATAAAGGACGAAGGATAAAGGACGAAAGCTAAAGGACGGAGGATAAAGGACGAAGGATAAAATATGAAGGATGAAGGATTGATGATGAAAGATTAACGATGAAAGACGAAGGATGAAGGACAAAGGACGAAGGGCAAATGACGAAGTACAAAGGACGAAAGACAAAGGACGAAGTACAATGGACGAAAGACAAAGGACGAAGGACAAAGGACAAAAGACGAAGGACCAAGGACAAATGACGAAGTACAAAGGACGAAGGACAATGGACGAAGGACAGAAGTCGAAGGACAAAAGACGAAGGATAAAGAATAAAGGACGAACGATAAAATATGAAGGATGAATGAAGAAGAATTAATGATGAAAGACGAAGGATAAAGGACGAAGGCTAAAGGACGGAGGATAAAGGACGAAGGATAAAGGACGAAGGATAAAGGACGAACGATAAAATATGAAGGATGTAGGATTGATGATGAAAGATTAACGATGAAAGACGAAGGATGAAGGACAAAGGACGAAGTACAATGGACGAAGGACAAAGGTCGAAGGACAAAGGACGAATGACAAATAAGGACGAAGGATAAAGGACGAACGATAAAATATGAAGGATGAAGGAAGAAGGATTAACGACGAAAGATTAACGATGAAAGACGAAGGATGAAGGACAAAGGAGGAAGGAAAATCTAACATTTAAAAAACCGACAAATTAAAAAAATCGAAAAGTCGAAAATTTAAGACGAATAATTGAAAAATCGCAGAACTCAAAAAATTTTATTTTAAAATATCGACAAACTGAAAAATCAAAAAACTGAAATATCGAGAAATTGAAACTTCAAAAAATCGAAAAATAAAAAACCGAGAAATCTAAGTCAAAAAAATTGAAAAATTGAAGAATCGAAATATGTACTGAAAATTTCCAAAACTGAAATATCGAAAAATCGAAAAATTCCAAAACTGAAACATCGACAGATTGAGAAATCGAAAAATTGAAAAGTCGAAAAATCGAAAATAGGAAAAATCAAACAATTGAACAATCAAGAACTCAAAAAAATGAGAAATCGAAAAGTCTAAAAATTGAGAATTCGAAAAAGTGCAAAATTTTCGAAAATTGAAAAATGTAAAACTGATATAACGGAAAATCAAGAAATCGAAAAATAAAAAAAATGAGAAATGGAAAATTTTAAAAATTGAGAAATTGAAAAATTGAAAAATCCCGAAAGTGAAATATCAAAAACTTGATAAACCGAAAAGTTGAAAAATCAAAAAAATCGAAAATTATAAAATAACGGATAAAACAGAAATCGAAAAGTAAAAAAATTGAGAAATCGTAAAAATCCCAAAAATTAAATATCGAAAAATTGATAAATCGAGAAAACGAAGATCCTAAAATTTAAAAAATCGATAAGTTGAAAAATAAAAAAACTGGAAAATCAAGAAATCGAAAAATTGAAGAATTGCAAAACTGAACATCGAAAAATTGAGAAATCAAAAAATTGAAAAGTCGGAAAATCGAAAATTTAAAAAAACAAAAAAATTTTAAAATCAAGAACTTGAACAATCTAAAAATTGAAGAATTGAAAATTTGGAAAATCGAAACACCGAACAGTCGAAAAATCGAGAAATGGAAAAATTAAAAAATCGAAAAGTTGGAAAACCGTGAAATCGAAAAATTGAGTTATTGAAAAATCGAAAAATCGGGAAATCGGAACAACGAAAAACCGAGAAATCGAAAAATCGGAAAATCGAGAATCGGAAGGGTGGAAAAATTAAAAATTTTCGAAAAAAAATTGAAAAATGTATCACTAATAAATATAACGGATAAAAGAGACATCGAAAAGTAAAAAAATTGAGAAATCGTAAAAATCCCAAAAATTAAATATCGAAAAATTGATAAATCGAAAAACTGGAAAGTCGAAAAATCGAAGAACCAAAAAACCGAGAAAACGAAGATCCTAAAATTTAAAAAATCAATAAGTTGAAAAATAAAAAAACTGAAAAATCAAGAAATCGAAAAATCGAAGAATTGAAGAATTCCAAAACTGAATATCGAAAAATTGAGAAATCAAAAAATTGAAAAGTCGGAAAATCGAAAATTTAAAAAAACAAAAAAATTTAAAAATCAAGAACTTGAACAATCGAAAAATCGAGAAGTGAAAAAATCAAAAAATCGAAAAGTTGGAAAACCGTGAAATCGAAAAACCGATTCATCGAGAAATTGAATTTGAAAATTGGACAAATGGTAAAGTTAAAAAATCGAAAATTCAAAATTTAAAAAAAAAGAGAATTCAAAATTTTCGAAAATAGAGAAATTCAAGAATTGAAAAATCCCGAAAGTGAAATATCGAAAACTTGATAAATCGAAAAGTTCAAAAATCAAAAAAATCGAAAATTAGAAAATTCAAACAATTGAAAAATCAAGAACTTGAAAAAATGTCAGAATTAAAAAATGTAAAAATTGAGTTATTGAAAAATCGAAAAATCGGGAAATCGGAACATGGAAAAACCGAGAAATGGAGAAATAGGAAAATCAAAAAAATTAAATGTCAAAAAAACGAGAAATCGAAAAATTGAAAAATGTAACACTAATAAATATAACGGATAAAAGAGAAATCGAAAAGTAAAAAATTGAGAAATCGTAAAAATCCCAAAAAATAAATATCGAAAAATTGGTAAATCGAAAAACTGGAAAATTCTAAAATTTAAAAAATCGATAAGTTGAAAAATAAAAAAAACTGAAAAATCAAGAAATCGAAAATTTGAAGAATTCCAAATCTGAACATCAAAAAATTGAACAGTCGGAAAATAGAAAATTTAAAAAAACAAAAAAATTTAAAAATCAAGAACTTGAATCATCTAAAAATTGAAGAATTGAAAAATCGGAAAATCGAAACACCGAACAGTCGAAAAATCGAGAAATGGAAAAATCAAAAAATCGAAAAGTTGGAAAACCGTGAAATCGAAAAATCGATCATCGAGATATTGAAATTGAAAATTGGACAAATGGTAAAATTAAAAAATCTAAAATTCAAAAATAAAAACATAGAAAAATCGTATAATAACTGAAATATCCGAAAATAGAAAAATTGAAAATTAAAAAAAAATGGAGAATTCAAAATTTTACAAAAAAAGAGAAATTCAAGAATTGAAAAATCCCGAAAGTGAAATATTGAATAATTGATAAATCGAAAAATTGAAAACTCGAAAAATCGCAAAAACGATATTTCTAAAATTTAAAAAATCATTAAATTGAAAAATCAAAAAATTGAAAAACCGAGAAATCGAAAAATCGAAAAACTGATGAATTTCAAAACTCAACATCGAAAAGTTGAAAAATCAAAAAAATCGAAAATTAGAAAATTCAAACAATTGAAAAATCAAGAACTTGAAAAAATGTAAGAATTAAAAAATGTAAAAATTGAGTTATTGAAAAATCGAAAAATCGGGAAATCGGAACATGGAAAAGCCGAGAAATGGAGAAATAGGAAAATCAAAAAAATTAAATGTCAAAAAAACGAGAAATCGAAAAATTGAAAAATGTAACACTAATAAATATAACGGATAAAGGAGAAATCGAAAAGTAAAAAATTGAGAAATCGTAAAAATCCCAAAAATTAAATATCGAAAAATTGGTAAATCGAAAAACTGGAAGATTCTAAAATTTAAAAAATCGATAAGTTGAAAAATAAAAAAACTGAAAAATCAAGAAATCGAAAATTTGAAGAATTCCAAAACTGAACATCAAAAAATTGAACAGTCGGAAAATAGAAAATTTAAAAAAACAAAAAAATTTTAAAATCAAGAACTTGAATCATCTAAAAATTGAAGAATTGAAAAATCGGAAAATCGAAACACCGAACAGTCGAAAAATCGAGAAATGGAAAAATCAAAAAATCGAAAAGTTGGAAAACCGTGAAATCGAAAAATCGATCATCGAGATATTGAAATTGAAAATTGGACAAATGGTAAAATTAAAAAATCTAAAATTCAAAAATAAAAACATAGAAAAACCGTATAATAACTGAAATATCCGAAAATAGAAAAATTGAAAATTAAAAAAAAA